AATACTCTATATATTAAAACTTTTTAAATAGTATTTTTTTGTTTGAAATTTATTGAAAACTGTCTAAAGAAGGTACTTTACACTTGAGGGTGAGGAAAAAGTTGTCTATTGTCAGAGCAAATTCAGTCTTTTTTTATTAGTATCTTTATGCAAGATATTTCCAAATATATTCATTTGGTACAGTTTTTCAGATGCATCGAATGAGCATACTTCGAAGCGTCCGAGGGAGTAAAAACTATCCAAAAAAAGGTAGTTCTCTTGAAAAATCGAGTGTTTGTTCTTCATAGCAAAGATATAAGTTTTTTAACATTTTTTAATATTTTCCACATCGTTTTTTCAATTTTTTATCACAAAAAATGACTTAAATTTTTTTGAATATATACAGTTCTATAGAGCTCGACGAGCTCTATAGAACCATGTAAAATATTCAAGAAAAACTCTTTACTCTTTTTATGAACTATTAGTACTTTCATTTTCCACCGCCAAAAAAATATAACATTTCTGAAAGTTTCTTGAGTTCAATATTAGAAGGTTTATATAACCATATCATATAGCATTAATAAACCTCATCTTTCATAGGATTTCATTTAGTATAAAATTCATCATATCTCCGACTTGAAATTATAGTGTTACCCCCCTGGAATAATATTATTTACCACCCTGTATGCGGTCTAGAAGCACACACATATATTATTTAACAGCATGTATTGTTCTGTTGAAAAAAGAGCAGACACGATTCAATGTTCAAAAGTTATGATAACGACTTATATAGATTACTATTCCATTGAATTAGTGATAATCATTTAGAAACACTCAGTAAATAAAAAGATCGACAGCAGTGGTCTAATTGTTGTCGAATTGATAAGATGAATCAGAACGATTTCGGAAAAAGGTTTCCATAGGATTATGCTTTTGTATTTTTTTGTCTTTTTGTATGGAAAAATTCGTGAACATCATTGTACATTAAGTCAGTAATTCAGTCGAGGGTAAAGCGAGTCAGCCTCTGCGAGTGTTATTTACTTTTATAGAATTATATGTGATATAATGTTGAAACCTTTCGATACATGACGAAAGTTTTCATCATTTACAATTGAAAACATAAAGAGGTACCTGAATGGCTTACATATCTTTTTCTTTCCCTTACTTCTGTAATATACTCCACATTTCGTGATCTTATTAACACAGTATATATATATAACTGGTGTTAAAAACATCTATTGTACTATTCTACAATTCTACATAATATAGATTAAGAGCTGATATAAAATGTTTGTTCGAACATTTATAGTAGAGACAATAGTACAGGTTCTGTTTTATATGTTATTGAAGATAAAGCAGTAAAAGAAAGAATATTGTTGTAAAAGCCCCAAATTATAATGATATCTGATAAATTTTATTAGTTTCTGAGAAGATTATTTTTGTCATTACACGAGAGTTGGAGTGAGAATTGATGTTTCGTATTCTAATCATTAAACACACTCACACCCTCATCCTCAAGTAAAAAACGTATTTTCATTTGTATATTATTTTAGGACAAATCAGTGAGAATGGACATACAATCAATCAAGCAAAAAGAAATTATTTTTGGTAATTTCGTGTTTACAAAAAAGAAAAATATTTAAACTCATATTTTTACCATCTTGTCGTTCTCTTTCTTTTATATGTTAATTAAATATTACGATTAAGCATTGAATTCGATAAAAACATTTGTGTAATCTTCCCTAACGATGTTTCATAAAATTCCTTCTTATAAAAACTTGAAGATGTTATATATATAAAGAAACTAAACACATGTGAAGTATATGTCAAAAGATAAGTAATAAGGAAAATATGCCGTTGCCAACCACTTGGTTGAGTACATATTAAACTGAACGAAAAAATAGTCTGAGGTATTGAAGATAATATAATTATAATTGGTGGTAAATAGAATTCTTTATGAATTAAAATTTGTTTTTTTAAAAATTGATTCGAATTCGTTTTTCTTTCTATTGTTTTCATTCGTTGTCGAGTTACCAGAGGGTGGGTGAGGGTGTGGGTGTGGGTGAGGGTGTGAGTGAGGGTGTGGGTGAGTCAAAGCACGCCATTATCGCGATTTCATCCCGGCCAAAGGAATCATCAGATGGCTTTAGACTGCGTAAGCTATCCAAATGATCCGAAGATCACAGAGAAGCTCACATAATCTGCGTAGTTCGACAGATAGCCGATAAGAAACTGTTCGATGTACCGCTCATATGGTTGCGAATGGTACAATATAGATTATATTCGCGTTGTTTATATATTGAATTCTGGTGATGGGAAACAATGAGGTGAATGGGTAGTAATATCGGATTAGGGTGACATCTTATGGGATATTTGAGATCCTGTGTTTAGCTGTTTATTGGAGAATGGTTTTGTTACGTGGCTTTTTGATACGAGATATATTATATCAGTGGTGGTTTTGCTTGAGTGTGATCTTGCGCACGTGTTTTAACTTGAAATCTGATTTTGGGTGCTTAGGTGTATGCTCAAAAGTTGAAGGGTTGGTTTTTTTAAATATTTAAGTAGTGTAGCACTCGCGTTGTACGGTTGCAATAGTTGTAAATTCTCCAGGCGCGTTGTGGATCCTCACTTCACTCTTAACCTCTCCGCATTTATTCTGCGCCCTCATTTGTATGCTGTTACCGCTGTGCTAAGCTCTTGACACCAACCGCACACCTTGATTTTGCTTATAATCCTCCTGTACTCATCAGGCACCCTCACACTGATATCAACCCCTCCACACCCACCCCACACCATCACATTGATATCAACCCCTCCACACCCCACCCTGGCCTATAAGATGCCGATTTATAATATAATTCAAATTAGGCAGCTCATGGTTTTCGTCGCAATCGTTGTTCGTTTTCTATAACGATTTCGACGTTCGGAATTTACTAAACTGAACTCGTCATAATTTCGTTGTTACTTTCATTTTTTTTTCTTGCTTCTCTCGCGAATATTTGCTTTACATATGGTTACATCATAAAATCTGTGAAGACATTTTTGTCATTGATGGGTAAATATGTTACAGTTATATACATACACATGCTTTTTACATGCGACGACCACGCTAATAATGCTTCATGCATTTTATTTTATCACATCTGACCTGGATAAAACTATAACAGGCGAAGAATACTGGCTAATTCTAGTAATGCGTTCACTTTTTATTAGTACGCCACAACGGTAAGATGTTTCAAATTTGTTCTCGGTGGCATGTTCCCAGCACTTAAATTATATTAAGTTAAAGCTCATATTCAATTAAAACAGAGATGGGGAACTCCAACTCCGAGTTGGAGTTAACTCCGGAGTTGACACTTTTTCACTCAGAGTTGGAGTTGAGTTGGAGTTGGAGTTTTCAATGTGACACGAAGTTGTAGTGGAGTTAGCTTAGATCGGACTGGAGTTGGAGTTGAGTTGGAGTTGGATTTTTCAATCTGATATGGAGTTGGAGTTAGCACTTTTTTCAACTCCAGTTCAACTCCAACTAATCCACTTTTTTGCATTAGATACAGGCAAATCTTACTACGGAGTTAAACTGGAGTTGGAGTTAATTCCGAAGTTGATGCTTTTTCGCTCAGAGTTGGAGTTGGATTATTCAATCTAGTATAGAGTTGGAGTGGAGTTGGATTTTTCAATCTGATATTGGAGTTGGAGTGGAGTTCAAATAATTGAGCTGGAGTTGGAGCAGAGTTGGAGTTGGATTTTTTAAAATATACGGAGTTGGAGTGGAGTTGGAGTTGGTTATCCGCGGAGTTGCCCATCTCTGAATTAAAACAGGAGCTGCTTTTAGAATGCATTTCTCCACTTTACATCATCTCGCATATCTGAAATATCTTGCTTCGCACGAACGAGTACATCGATGATTTGGGTGACTTGTACTCAAGTCTATTAGCAGACACCCACTCTCGTCTTCCTCTAAAGCGAAACCCGCCTTGCAAAGTCTGATGACTATCGCCACAGCAGAGTTATAACTAGCATGCAGGTAATTTGGGTGAAATACACCCAGATCCCCAACGGATCCTTGTTACGTAGTTCTTGAACATATATAGATGTTTTCCTGGACCAAAGCAGTTACACACGTAACTGAACGCTTTAAATTTTGCTGTTTGAAGACCTGAAAGCAAAACATTAAGAAAATATCAAAATTGGAAAAAACCGAAGAAATGAATGTCGTCAGATAAAATGGCGAAAGCGTTAAAATATTGACGTAAATGATATCAGTATTCTTTTCCTTCACATTCTACTACACTCTAGCCTCCACCTTCTTGTTCTCACCACTGAATTTTTATTTGGACAATACTATTCATTGTTTTCATTATGCTTCAGCAAAAGTACTTTTCGACGTTGTGATCTTTCGGTTTTTTTTCCATAGATTAAAACATATAACACATACGTTGGATCTGTCATCGGAAAAGAACCATGCAACGTAATGAGATGAAATCATTTATTTTGTAATCGAAGAAGGTAAAAATACAAGATTGTTTTCTATGAAGCACATGGTCTTTTTTTTTCTTCATACTTTTTCATCAAAGAGAAAGAGAACGGAAATTTACCTCAAGTCTTTATTTCTTCGTGTGATATTAAAAGTCGATCGTATCCATTTACAAAGCTCATATTTATAATGGAACAGATTATTCAACGTGCAATCGATTCGATTAACAAACTCTTGAATCGACGTTCGAAAAGAATCCCATTCAGGCGAGAATTACAAGAAACACACTGCCTTCTTACAAAATTGCTTCAAATAGAATCGCCAAAAAACGATTGCAATCGATTATTCTGTAGATATTTAGAACGATTGATGAATTATGCTGATAATCCGTCAGCTGACTTTTGGATCGAACAAAAAAAATGTAATTGACTTTTTACTGAGAGATCAAAATAACGCGGGCCTGGACAATATTCCTCAAATTCTTTTCTTCGAAAAAGAATTAGAAGATCGTGAGAAAAATTTTCAAGAAACAATTGGCAAACAAAATCATTTCACTGAACTATTTGATCAATATAAAGATTTTCTTGTAAAGTATCTAAACAAATGTATTTCTCTCCATTCGAAAATTGAAATCAATATTGTTATGCAAAACATTGACGAATGTCTTCACAACAATTATGATTTCACAAATCATTTAGAAATTCAACAGTGTTTACAAAATATGAAAATAGCATTTGATTTTGCGAATCAGTCATTAAATTGTTTAGATGATTGGACAAACAACGATGTTAATCAATTGAAAAGAAATATCAATAATCCGAATAATTTTATTCCATCATCAGAACAACTTCAAATGAAATACTATGACCAAGAGAAAATTGAACATATCATTGAATCAGATCGGTGGATCGTTATCTTAGGTGATCCTGGTTGTGCCAAAACAACTCTTCTTCGATGGATTGTGTTGAATTTTTCGAAAAAAATTCTTCAAAATGAACAAAAACGTATTCCAATTTTAATTCGCATTGACGAATTTTCTTCATGGTTAAATGAACATCCCACAAAAACATTGATGGACTATATCGGTAAACACACTTGGTTCTCTCAAAATTATTCTGATGATGATGAAAGTTTTACCTTAAAACAATTCATAATTCATGGTCATGCATTGATACTTTTAGATGGACTTGATGAAATTGGAAATCTTGAACAAAGAGCGAAAATTGTTGAACTCGTTCGAAAATTTATATGTGAACATGTCAGAACACCTGATTTCATTTCTGGATTTGATGAAACACATTCTCGTATCTATGAAAATCCACTGAAATATCTGAAAATTTTAAAAATTCAACCACCGGATTCAATAACTGGAAATCAAATTGTGATTAAAAGTCGTTTTGTTGGTTATTCATTATATTCATTAACAAGTCCTTCTATTCGACATTATTCATTACCATTGATGGATCAAAGTCAAGCAAAAGAATTTGCAAAAAAGTGGATCAATGAAGTTGATGCAAATCTATTTGAAATTGTCTCAGAAGAACGCGTTAAGATTTTATCTGAAAAACGATATCAAAGTTTAGAAAAACTTTTGCAAAGCAATTCAGAATTCAACAAAATAACACCTGCTTTATTATCTTTAATTTGCACATCGATTTTTCAATCGATCAAGGAATTTTCTCCTGAATCTCGTATCGAAGTTTATGATTATATTGTTCAAGCAGCGATGCACATTTGGACAAATGAAAGTCTAATGAATGAATTCCTTATAAATCTTGCAACTTATCTTCATTTGTATTCTCAATCTTCGTTAATCGATGCATTTGATATGGAAAGTTTATGTTGTTTTACTTTACAACAACACAGATCTTTTTCAAATCGTCAAGAATTGCACAAACATGCCAAGAAAATGATTTCTTCATTAGAATTTTATAATGTAATTGTATCTGCGAAAGGTTTGGAAACATATGGGTTTTTTCATTTATCATTTCAAGAATATTTCGTAGCACAAAATCTTCTTCGAGATTCTTCGAGGGAAAAAGTTGTCGAGAAGATTCTTTCGTTTTCAATCGATTTTCGTCTTCACGAATCGGTTTGTTTAGCGATTGAATGGATTAGTTGGAAATGGTCAATCGATGAATACGAACAATTTTGGAAAAGTTTTCTTTCGCAAGGTGAAAAGAGTCTTTTTCCAGTCGGATCACTTTTCCTCTTCGAAACTTGGAATCATTTATACAAATTCCCTTCAAAAGCGATTATTTTCATCGCTTTAAATAATATACTTCATTCGTCATCGGATTACATTAGAGAATCTTATTTAATATCCAATTTAATTAATCTATCAGATGATCTTATCATTCAATGGATGAATTCATCTTTAATAGACAACGAGACCCTCGCAAAATTTCTTTCAAGTTTGCCAAATAAGGCTTCTCAATTCAATGATAATCATTTGCAGACAAAGTTGAAAATCATCTTTGAACGAATTCCCATCAAATCAATTGGCACGAACAATTCTGTGATGTGTACACAAGAACTACCAGAGTTAAACGAGTTTTGGAATCATGAGAACGAAAACCATCGAATAATGACTTCATCAAAAGCATTGCTAATTACTGAATGTTTATCAAAATTGAATGAAGAAAATATGAGAAGAATGATTCAAAGTACGTTGAATTGTGAATTGATTGAAGTTGATGCTCTCGGTATAATTAAACATTGGCTTGATTACCGAAAAGATAAACATCGAAGATATTTTGCTCTTTACGCTGCATTACAATTAATTCAACATGGATCGGATGAAAAAGTTTTATTGGATATTATTAAAGAAGAGTTTGTTAAAAAGAAAGAATTTTCTTGGAAACATTTGCTTGAATCTGTTCTTAATTCTTCAAATGTTCAAGCAAAATGTCTTACAGAATTATTAGATTTAATCCCAAAGGATCTTTTTTATTCTTATTTATGGATTCATCGTCAAGAAACGTATGATTCGCTTTTAGAAATGACATTTCAACGCATCAATTCAATGAATGCATTTTTATCAGTGTTTCCAATTAAAACCAAAGATTTATTTCTGCACGTTTTCAACTACTTTCGTTCACAAGTGGAGAAAGATGTCATTCATGAACAACATTGTTCGAATCTGATTTCCTGGCTGATAGGAGATGAAGTTCGACACCATGATGAACAATTTTGTAATTATGTTGATGAATTGCTTTGGAATCAAAGATTTCCAAAGATTCAAAAAGCTATTCTTTATCAGCTTAATTTGATGTACATTACTCATAAAAAGTTTAAGAAAAATCAATTTCTACAAGATAAATCCATCCTTTATTTGGAACAAATCATTCGTTTGTGGAACGAATATCCCGAAGATTTCATAATAGATTGTTTAATTACTTACGGAAATTCTTTATACAATTCAAATCAAATCACTGAAGAGACAAAAACTGCTTTGATGAATATTTGCAAAACATCAAGCTCGGAAAGAATTGTCATTAGTGCAGAGTTTTGTCTGGCAATGTCTCAACAATCCAACAGTGCGCAGGTAAATTCGACCATCAAACACACATATCGAATGTTAATACAAAAAACGTTATACCGGAAAAATTTCAAATTATACCGAACAGACGATGATTTTGATCAAATTCGTCCTGAAAGTGAATATCATCATGATAATTATTTTGGTTTTAATTTCAATACAAAACAAACAGCTGATGATTATATTCATTGTCATTCTAATGAACTTATGGATTTGTTTGTGAATGATTTATATGATTATCTCGAGAAATATAAGGATTACGAATTGACACCGGATTATGTGGAAATTGCATCGAAGGTTATCAAGAAAAATCGAGAGGAATTTTGCAATTCCATTCGGAAAAGTTCGTTTGGCGAAAATTTGTTTAAGGATAAAATCTGTTCTTATACCAAAAAGAATCCGACGAATTCACAAAACTCAATGAATATTTATTTAGCTTTTGGTATAATTGACAATCAGTTTATTGATTTATTTCAACAAATCCATGTCGACAGTTTTGTGCAGTTTACTCTTCAATTCGATTTCATTAAAGAAATATCAGATCGAGATGTTATTGAGAAATTATTTGAGTTATTAAAAATGACAATTTCTGAAAAACAATTTACTCTGATATTAAACATATTTAAGAAACTCATCGAAATCAACAGGGTATCTTTGTTGGAATTGCACGAGAATTTATTTGATTTCAGAAATATTTCTTATGACGATGATGATGAGAAAACGAAATCTATTCAAGAAAGTATCATTAAATTGTTACTTGCATTGAGTGGATTTGTTTGACGAAAACCGATTTCAACGAAATTTATGTACGTTTTTCGATTTTTATTCACGAATAAAGACTTGGAAACAAATTGGAACAGAGAATCGTATAAATACGAGGGAGAATAATGTGATTCCGAGACACTGATAAAATGTTAGAAATTGAATTCGTTACCACCGCATTCGAGATCTTTGTCCTCATCGTTTTGTTCGTACTTTGCACTTCATTCCGATACTTTGTCCTGTTGCTGCTTATCTTGTCGTCATTGTAATTTTCTGTCATATAATATTTTCGTTCTCTTTCGCCAACGAACATATAAGCATGTGTTTTACACGGGAGTGTGATTATTCTTTTTTCTAGCTGCGCGGTACAAAACTTTCCGATGATAACAACTAAAATTTATTCAAAACCAATAGCCAGATTGGATTTGGAAAGCATTCTTCAATCGGACGCTTCTCTATATCCTTCCAGTTTGACATTACGAACATTACAAAATTGGTATGACACGAATTCAAGCAATTTTATTAATTATTATATAAGCAATGAATCTCGTTCAGAAACAACCATCGGAATATCGATATCTTTTCCAATGAAAGCAACTTTCTGGAAGAGGTTAATCACAGGAGATCTCAATGAGCACGAGATTACAGGTGACATGCTATTGGAACAAAATTGTTCTTTAGCTGACGAAGAAAATGAATACGGAATACATATTTGGCATATAAAGAAATTCGAATTATGGAATAAACTTTGTTTAACGAATTTCAGAGACAGATTTTGGTCAGATTTACAGTGTTCTGTTGATATGTTAAACTCGAAAAATAAGAAATGTATTGGATTTTCAAGTTTGTGTGCCACTGACGAGGGGACTCGCGCTATGAAGAAACTTGGATTTGATCTTCAAGGTTATTATGATTTCATCGTTCAAAATAGGCAAGGACAACTGAAGGTTATTCATTCAACAGACATTCATGCACAAAATATAAAGAATAAAGATGAATGGAAAATGATCTTTCAATGCGGGATCTATACTAGATGTATTCATAGTGTATGAAGTTAATTGCATATTTTTATTAAAATAAAATAATAGGATTATTTGGCACTATTGTGAGCAGATTTAAATGAATATTTGATCATATGTGTCTGAGTCAAAATTCTCGAGAGCGATGCGTTTGTCAACATCAGAAACAGATTATAAGGACAAAACTTTCGATAACATTTTATGATTGTGATTGAAGTGAATTCCTAACTAGTTATTGTTGTGTATAATTTTGAGTTAACAAATGGAAAATGGACTAGAAAGCATGATCCGAAATTGACAATCTGTTTTTCTTTGTAGATTGCGCTGTGCGGTGGTTGATGTTACATTGACTGTTTGTAGATAAACTTGCGCGTGACGCACATTTATAATGATCATAAAACAGAACATGAACATCAGTACTAATGAAAATAAGATCGTAACTAGCGCAAAGGACAGATTTGCTTTGTAGCAATAGAGTTGTTATGTTTCAATAATCATTGAAAGAATGATGATGACGACCACGATATCACGCTGTACATTTTTCTCGACGATCAGTAGAAATCGTTTTTGTGAGAGAACAAATATATTGAAAATATTACCTAGAACGCCAAAAATAAGGAATAAAAATTGAAACATAACGATTAGATTGATTCGAAATATTGTTCAGTAGAGTGATCAGATTTGCATCTCAAGATAGTGACATTTGTTTTTTTGGATAATTCGTTTTTGCAAATAGAAAATGATAGATTTGACAAGGTCATTGGTGAGATTAACTTTATGTCTTCTATAAATCTAGTCATCATGTAAAAATGAACAAAGAAAGGCAAGTTTTAGACTTAACTTACATTCTATTTACATGATGACATAAATATCTGATTACATTAAGTTATCATGCGAAGTTATTGGATTCCTTCCTTTCTTATTGTGGCGGGTTTTGTTCGGACAAGACTAGAATGTATTCACAAATGTGTTCTGCACTGAAAAATTTTGATCAGGTTTTTCATAGAAATGTCATAGATGTCTCGATTTAAACTTATAAACGTAAACTGCTACTGTCTGATGCGTATACAAGCTCTATTTCTGTGCTAATTTAATCGAAATAGAATACGACAAACCATTACACTTCGTTCATAGAGTCATTACAAACTACTTTGCTTGTGGGCTGGATGTCAGGTGTTGGCTTGCAATATTAACTGCAAGGACAGAGAGAAAAGACTGTCAATGTATTCTCATATGTCATGTAAATGTGTTCGATTGCATTTGGTACTTATAACTCGATCTGCATTGATTTACACTGATCTTCGAATTTAAGATTAATAATGAAACTAGATAGTAGATTAAACGTCTTAAATGAGCGGTCCTCTAAAGGTCATTTTTGGAGAAATTACTCTCTTTGATTTTTATGCTCTTCTCGCACAAATCATTGTTCCTATTTTCCGTACTTTCATGTAGAGAACGAATAAAAACAATAATAGAATCATAACAAACTGCGCATATGTTATCTTTCACATGAAATAGACTACCTCGAAGAGCAAAGTTCTATTCGATCTTATATGAATCAACATTCGGAACAGATTTTCTCATTCTCATGCACATTGTATTTATTCTCAACGTAGAACATCAATGTCCTTTTAATTATCTGTTTTCTGCAGGAAGCCATGTATAAGATTCTTTCTTTGATTATTCTATTCATTTGTGGAAGCGCAGTCGCGCGTCAATCTGGTATGTTATCAAGTTCAATCAGTCGTATCATGCCATCTGCGACGCAAAATGTCAAGAGTGCTGATTTGTGTTCTACATGTGTCAGCACATTCGATATGTTGATCTATTTTGTCATTGATGGAATTATGGAACTGGGTATTGCAACAACATGCGATGACTTATGTCAATATGTTACACAAAAATCCCAATCGCCGTATTTAGAAGCTATTTGTTCAATTGGTTGCGATATTGTTGGAATAAACGAATTCATTCGCATAGCAACAAAGGTCGATCTTGATCCAATTTATTTCTGTGAATTATTAACAATTTGTCCAAGTAAAAACGAACCACTTTCTTTGTATAGAATCAAAAGAAATAAGTTTCATTACTTTAGTTAATGATCATGGTGACGCGAAAATCAAAGCATTTGTCATTTCACCACCGCATGCGACAGCTTCTACTAAATTTGTTTTTGATGTAACCTTTCAATCGGTCAATGGAACTGGTACAGGTCAATTACTGTACACTGTTAAACCAGTTGATGATCTCAAGATTTCGTCGTTCTTGTTAATGGAAGAAAAAAAACCAGGTTTATATGCTGAACGTTTTGCTATTGATACGACTCCTGATCCAGATTGTGAATCCGACATTAGTAAGAAAGAAATTCGTCACCTATTTGCATTTTTAGAAAGTGAATGTCCGTTTTTTAATAATAGATCCTTGTGAAGAATGGCTTCCTGGTGTTTACAATGTTACAGTTATGATTTGTAATGGAGAATGTAATTCACAGCATCCTCATAGCCAGGTTTATGACACGGTCAAAGGTTCATTTCAAATTGATTAATAAGACGAAGGAAAGCTTATCCCCAACATCTGGTATAAGTGACGACTCTATTCTAGTTGTAGTTTTTGTTTAAATTGATAATAAAATCTGAATACGATTTTTGAAGTATTTTACTATTGAGGACAGTTGTGGATGAGAATCTTCTGTACATCATCACCTTCATGATTCTTTGCTCTATCTATTGTAGTCAATCTATTTTTCTATGTTAGTTTACGACTACTGAAAAAGAACAACTAATATCGTTGTAAATTCAGTCGCTGAAATGCTAAAAGTTCCTTTGTTTCTATAAACCAATCAGATTGCAGGATTTTCAGAGTGTAGGAACTCGAATCTAAAGTCTGTCGTTCATTGTACCAGTCTATATGGTTTCGAGAAAGATCGTATTCAAGTGAACAAATTAACGTAGAAATTATTTTAGAAACTTTTTACTGATGAATTATATAATTCAGCACTATTGGTACTGCTCGATCATCTGGAATTCCTGACGACTAATATGCTTTCATTTGGCAACGTAACTACTCTGTGATCCCATCGAATATGATACATACTACTAGTGGTTGTCCAAGTTTCTGTTGATAGATCAAAAGCACCTGGATTTTCATTAAATCCACCAGTGACTAATAATTTGCCGTTTTTTAATTAAACAATTGCATGAAGACGCGCTGGACTCGGCATACTAGCAACGAATTTCCATGTTCCTGTCATTGGATCATATAATTCAGCGGTGTTTGAATAGGCAAAATCATCATTTAGTCCACCTATAACTAAAACTTTTCCATTCTGTAATGTTACTGCTGTGTGTGCGTATAACGTCCATCATTCGACATAGCACCATTTGTCCAATTGCGTGTGGATGAGTGAAACAATTCTGTGGTATGCAAATAATATCCAGAACCTGCACCGGTGACTATAACATTTCCGTTTTCCAATAAGGACACTGCATGGATACATCGTCTATAACGAAACTCACCAGTTTCAGACCATTCTATATAGATGAAAATATTTACATATAATTCAAATAAATTTATTTCAACTCACTTGACTGATTACTTGCCTTTAAATAAGGATTGATACTACTTTCTGAATTTGCTGATGCAACAATAATCACTACAAAAAATATGGTTCAACTATATATTTGATGCTACGAATAAAATATTCCGCGTGTGCACTGTTTTATATTCATTTAAGTAGTCTTATATAGGTTAGAAAAGAAAAAAGTACTATTTACTTTGAGAGGAAGCATGCAAAATTCTATGTTGTCTGTGTAAATACTCCTATCTAATGGTATGTACTATTTACCTAAGACTGATCTTGTCGTTGTTACAGGCAGACTTTTTTTCGGATTGCTCATTAATTGTAAATTTTGTAACTAACTATCAGACTAATTAACCGTTTGAATGATAATGACACGAAGATGAGGATGAACGATATGATATATGGAATAGCATGAGAGGGGAAAGGCGAAGTTGAGGTGTGGAATATCTGGAGTACGGATTCGCACACAATTGTATTTCAACTCGAGCTTTATTCGTTCCTAGTAGAACTTGATGAGCTCCATCTATATTTATAAAAATGCTTCCCAAAATGTCATGAGTTGACTAATTCGATTTACATTATAAATCGATCTCCCACAGACTAATATCAATTCGAACATAAATAGATATCTATATCAGTCTTATAGAAAACAAATAGAGAAGAATGTGAAAAGAGGGGTGGATGCCGGGGTGTGTGTGTTGACAGGCATATACAATGAGTCTGAGATCGTATATCTACCTCAAGCTGAATCTATTCCTATTTCTATCCATTCGTTTACTTTAAGGCTGATATACGTAGATATTAGTTTGTGAGAGGTCGGCTTATAATAAAAGTCGAATTACACAACTCGTGTATTAATGGACCTCGACCAGGATCTCTTTTATATGAATCCGCTTTTAAATTAACTAATGATTCATAATTATTAGTTGTTGATGTTGTTAAAGAATATTCAATGGCAGAACTTCCACACGTTTCATTTCGATCATCAACATCAATAATGCAAGCTTCTGTCGAATTCGTTTATATTGATAATATCTGTATTAACAGTTGCTTCATCATAATATCACATAATTGTTGCAATGGGATTTCTGATTTTCTTGCAAAATAATATGAGATTTTACTTTTATCAGACATTTATCAAATCGAATGATTTCAAATGAAACAACACAATAATAAAAGGTCGAAAAAAAATAAGTAGTGAGAATTGCTTGAAATTTGCTGACCATTGGTATTATGGTATTATGCTATCATAATAACTATCGAAAGATGACGATATAGACAGAAGCAATTGCTTCCCTTCGCCTATCAGGCGCGCCGCCTATGGCGACAAAGGAAGAAACATACTATATTAAAGTACGGAAGATAATATTAGTATAAAAGCTCTCTTTATTATCATCTGCATTCGAAGTATCCTCTGTTCTATTGTTTCTTTATTACAAGAAAATAAGCTCGTAACAAATTAAGTTGAAAATAGATGATAAATCAAAGATCTCTCGAATATAGTTCCATGTCATGATTGATGTTTCACAGCTGATGTAGGTTTACTCTATTAACTAAATCGACTTTCATAACCATAAGAGGAGAGATGTTGTAAGTATTTTAAAGTCAGCTAAGCAGAGAATACATTTTTTGACTTATATAATTAAACGAGTTTTAATTTGATTGATTATAGATATATTCGTATTTTCTGTTGTTAATTCGACGGTAAACATGACTAAAACTTTATTAATTCATACCTGTTGATGATCAAATGCATTCATACTAATAGCTCCAATTAATTAGAACCGGTCATGAAAATAATTCTACAGACTACTGAGCCTGGCTCAAATCAAGAAGAAGCGAGCCGCATATCATTCTGAGAATGTTATTAACATTCTCTATTACGTAAAGAAAAAAATAATATAAAAGGAATTATACGGTTTTTCTAGCTTTCACTTTCAATGGTGAAAAGCATACTAACTTACATTGAACACGTTCTTAACAAGTAATTATAGACGAACAGAATAAAAAATAATGCTATAATTCTTGCCAAAGTCATAAATAGTCAAACATCAGCTCGTTCGTTCAATATGGAAATATTCTTACAGAATGCTTGCATTAAGGTTTCCCTTTTCATTATATGGCTAAAAGTAATTTCTTTTAAGAAAAAATAAGGAGAAGCTTCTTTCGATCAAACTAAGATGATGATGGAGACATGTAATTGTTGCTTATAGTAATGAAATTCTTTTCTAATTCTATCTGACAATTTGATTGTTTATTCAACACATTCACTGTTGCTTTTATGTTACGTGACGAGAGAAACGAAAATTGGTGATGAATAATAAGCAACAGAGATGTTTATGTACTTGAATTGACCTATTCTGTACTTTTGTTAGTCATCTCTTGTGAATCATTTTTATTGAATATTTAAGAGAAAAAAAGAGAAAATCTTGGCGTTATATTAGAGATTTTACGTATATAGATTTTAGGCGCATGAGTCATATGTGGTTCATTTTAGAAGGCAAATAGGTATAGAAATATAAAGGTAAGAGGAAGCATCTTTCGAATATTGTTGAGTCTCATAATTATTTCACAACCATTGATTGGTCCAGTCCATTCACTTAGTTGCTTGACACAACCAACATCAGCAACACTTGGATGAAAATTTAAAACACTATCACCAGTAATTGTATCATCATGTGCAAGATACCAATATGTAGCACCTATATTCGGAGCTGGGTTAGGATCGAGTTTATCTAAACCAATATAATGAACAGTTGCGTTGTCAACATACATGATAATAGGAAAAACACCAGCCGCATCAATAGCATTTCCAATCCACGCTTGTGCAACAACAGGTTTTATGCTTTCAACGCCCCATTTCTGTGTAATAATCCATTCACCAGCATAATCCAAAAATCGAGAATTATAATTATAAAGTTCGCATTGATAATTGCATGATGGTGACCATGTACATGTATTTGATTTATAATCATAAACGAAAAAACCAGTAGCATTAAAATAAAAATATGTAGTGCCTGCACTAGTAATAAGTATTTGATTTACGTCGTCGGCAATCCATACTGAATTTGTAACAAATCCATATTTTTTTATCCCAAATATTCCATAACCAGTATTACTTGTTAATGGATACGGTAATGCGTGTGTGCTGCCGTTCACATTGGGACATCGAGTGCTATTATTTTTTTTACAAATTCTCAAATAGCCTGTTGATTGAGTGACAATTCCTCCATCGAAAACATGCCATGCAATACCAAATGGAGGTTGATTGTCAACAAGAGATGATGGTGACGGAAATGGTGTTCCAGAAAGAATTACATTAATGAAATATAATTTATTATCCAAAGCATTTATATGTAAGACGACTAAATGTGTATCATTTGACGTAGAACATCCAGATGAAACACCATTGTAACCTGTTGGTGGACAATGGTAATCTAAATCATAATTATCTATACTTCCTAAAACAGTTAGTGCAGCAATCTGTGCATAAAATGTTTGATTTGTTTTTGGATTTTGATAAGTTGTATAACTGGTTGATAAATTTGTGATTTGTTGCCATGAAAAAATAAAACAATTGTCACTGATCGTGTTATCCGTTGTTATATTAACAGTAGTTTCAACACAGGATGATGGAATTCGTTGAAGGTAGAAAAGGCCATCACAAATAACTATGATTGAAAAATAAGTATAAGAAATATTTCGTATTCATCAATCATATACGAACCTAAATCGACAAGAAAAATATTGAAAAATATCGATGTAATCAGTGTGTAGCAGAACATTAATGTACTTTTTATGTTGTACTCATCAAAAACAGGGTGCTTTATTTAGGTGAAAGTAGAATTTTTTTCTCTTTCCTGCTATTGCTATTGCGCACGTCGAAAAACACGAATCAGAATCGGCACCTCATCACCATCATTTTTATGCTTATTTTTCTTTCATTAAAAGGATTCAAGTCATTTTATATTCTTTTAAGAGCGACTTAAATATAAAAACTCACTTCAAAATTAATAGAAATTATCAAATAAGAACTTTGTTTATCAAGTATTCTTTATTTTAGTTCTAATGGAACTGACTCTTAAAAATCAATGTCTTATATAAAAATGAGTTCTCTATGCGGACTGCTTTTAAAAATTCTTATAGTGTTTTACCAAGATTCATGATTCATTCTTCTTTTAAGTTCTAAAGATTTTCTTCCTGACACTCATGATGAAGCAAAACATACAAAACAAATTTCATTTAGAATTTATGCGTGAATTTTGTTTTTCTCTGTTTCTTATTTACTTTTTCTTCGACGGGCGCATTCAAATGTTTGGCTTTTTTCTCATGATGAGTCGTCAACCTTCTGCCATTTACAATCGAATATTGAACCATGTAACACCTTCGCCGTTATCAATGAATTATTGCTGACGATGCGATTGTCACTCCATACTTAAAAAGTCATTTAACAACATTGTTTGCAGCGTGTAAAATAATCGATTAACTATTAAAACTACTCTCAAGGAGTTTGCTATAATCTCTTTATCTGCATTTCTTTTCTTGTTCATACCGTTTGTTTTACTTGTTGCTGAATGTGTTTAAGCGTCGGATAGTGAAACATTTAGAAAACTTCGAGACCAATGTAGGCGATCTTGTAAATGCACTCGCCACACGTTTCGAAGAAAGACCTTTTTCTAAATAAAACTTCTTGATTACTGGAATTATGTATTTTCCGATCAATCGTGCCGATCGTTGACACAAAAACCAAAATTATACATGGGCCATCAGTTATCATCGACATGAACACGGTCTTAAAGTTACTTCATTTACTAGAAGTGCTCCTAGCACCTTAGCACTAAACATAATAGGAAGCCTAATATTCGAAAGCCAATACATAGCAATTGAAACATCTGTGTCACTGTTGATCTAAAAAGGACATCACGCGTAGAAAATGTCACTCACTATTCTTCTAATCACCAAGCAACACATATACAGCTCAGGTATTTCCTCACACACCCTTTAAAATCCCGACTGGAACTAACGGAGCCACAATGATCTGAAGTGTTCCAGACGACGGTGCGGATGGATGACAGTAACAGTACGAAGGTTCTTTCTAATGATCTTTCTTTGTTTTGCTAAATTTCATATCTTGAGACTTTAGATACTTATGGTATTATAAGCTCCCAGTCAAGTATACATTTTATTCTCATCGATTTTAGAAAAAAATTCTATATCTTGTTTTTGAGGATTAATGAATCTATTTGAGTAGAAAAATTTGAACAGTTTCCTCGTATATATAGTTGCTAGATCGATTCTGCTCAATATTGCGACACGAAGAAAAGACCTGTCCTCCACAGTCGGCGGTTAAGTGAGTTGGCACAACAAGCGTTACTTTCCGATACTAGTGAAAAAAGTTAATTTTTGTGGTTGTTTTATCGCAGGCTTACCCTCAAGATAAGTCTACATACAATTATAAGGAGAATGATCCACTTTAAATGCATAAAAACTGGAAAGAAAACAAAAAAAAACTTAAGATATATGAAGAACAGCTTGCATTAATGGTGCAATTTTATCGAATATATTCGACATAATCAATTGCTTGTGTAAAGTCTCTCGACATTGTTCAACTATAAATTGTAATCGTAAAATAATTTGAAGCAAACGAATGAATCCTTTTTGTGCTTCTATTTCACCATGTTTATTTACTAGATAATTCCATAGAATAGTTGTATAACGTAAATGAACCTGATTAACTCTACATGGATCATTGAGTATCGATTCGTCATCACTCATGGATAATCCTCGTGAAAATAGCAGAATAACGGAAAGTAATGACAAGAATATTGGATCTTGATCGGTAATATCAACAAGTGAGCTAATTATATTAACAAATGATTCATATAATGTGATTGGTGCTCCGCATAATCGGAACAGCTCACGTAGTTTTCTTGATGCTTCACAGTTATTATTTGCACAACAATCATTCGTTGATTTATAATTATAAGATTTACCAATAGAAGAAAGAGAAAATATATTATATTTTATTAAATTAAATCGATCATCTGGATGTAAATTTTCGAAGTCATCAATTTGACGAAAAAAATTTATGTAACACAGTATCACCTTACCAACAAATTGTGACCAAGAAATAATAGCAGACGTTTCGCTTGTTAAATCATAATAGTCACAGCAATGAAGATGTGGAAAATAAAGATATGCTGTAAATGCAGATTGAACCGTTTCGATTGTTAGCCAATCATCAACGGACAATATATCCAATAGCATATTGTTTGAATCATTAAACAACATATTATCACCGAAATTCTTCATTAACTATACATATCATATGGTAACATTCTTTACAATTCATTAGTACAAAGTAAAACTCACTTCTTCGATATCATCGACACTTGCTACGATATTTGATAAAGTTTCTGGTAGTGTTGAATTATTGATCGCCAAACATCGATTTTCTTCTAATTGTTTTCTTTTCTCTTGCTTTTGTTCTTCAGTCAAAATAGAATCTCTTCGCATTCCCATTCTTAGACATTTGTCTAATCGACACCGAGCACATTTGCGTCGCATTTCATATCCAACAGGGCATTGACCTCGACTTTTCAAACATCGAATATTTTCCTACGATAAACAATACACATATATCCCCCCATAATGAGCAAAATAAGGAACACAGACTATAGGATGATGAGCATTTCTACGAAAGAATTCTTTACACGAATTACATGATACAGCATCATAATTAAATCCAATGGCACGATCACCACATATGACACACACTAAATCAGTAGATTTCTTTCGAACTGAGGCTGTTTTAAGTTTTTTTGGTCGCGGTTGATCAAGTGCTTGTTTGTAGAGTTGATCTTGATTTGAGTTCTACACAAAAGGAAGAGATGCGATTATATATATTTATGGTGAAACGATATACGAACAGACTGAAATATTTTAGCAAGAAGAGCACGATTGATAGGATTGTCAGTTGAAGATATTTGCTGATCGTTGTTCAGATCAATAATATGCGTATTTAAAGGTTTATTAGCTGCAAACTGGCGAATAAGATCTTCATTTGATGTTAGTATAAGCATTTGCCTTTGAGACGCCATCTTGTAAACTTTATCTTGATCTCAGTTAGAAAAGAAAAATGAAATAAGCACAAAAATAAGATGTTTTATTTTTCTTATCAAAGAGCAAAATATCAAAGAAGAAACGCAAACTCAGCGTGTGTGATAATTGAAATGATTCAGTATATAAACGGTTGAATGATATTTTTTGAAGACGTATGTAATTGAATGTACTACAAAACCATGAAAATTAGTCCATTTCTATATTAATGGTTATGGATAATTTAGACGACTATGTGCAGATTGGACTGGCATGACTAGTTTCATTTTCTGCACAAGAAGGCGCATCAGATGGCTTATGATTTCATTTAATTTAAATTGAATTAAACATTTTCAAAAGTAAAAAGTTTACCATGATCGTGCTTTTTGTGTGCTGGATGCTTATTGCATCTATGAGAGCTGTAGTCATCATTTGTTAGGAAATCGGTTTTTAGCTTTCCTTACGTTGGACTTGCGGGCTTTGATCAAGGTGCTGACATTTTTATAATGTTGAAGCAATGTTAGTTATTAAAAATAGTCAAATTTGAGGAAGAAATGGAAGAGAGTAGGACACTATTTCGCTCAATAATAAATTCTCCATGGTTTACAAATTCACACCCATACCCTCACACCCAATTCTAAACACGAAATAAATTTCTAATATAGTTGTTCATAAATATATAAAGCTGAGGGTATGCGTGAGTGTTGTTATTTCTCTATACTCATATTCCTACTCACAAGATGCACAAATTACCAACATGCCTTTATTTTTAATAGTAATAATTGATTATGCATAAGGCCCAGTGTTTTAGTGGTAGAATGTTCGCTTTGGAAGCGAGCGACCCAGGTTCGATTCCTGGCTAGGCCCCTTTTTTTCATTCCTATCCCTTTTTAGGGCACGTACAGCGGAAATTGATTGCTGAATGACCGACACTCTTTTTTTTTCTATCTGATAAAGTTTTATGATAGGACATATGAATTTTTTGAAAAGAATATTATACGAGCTCGTCATAGAGGCACAACTCAGTACATAGGATAGCAAACTATTCTGCAAAAAGATCAAATTTAAAAAGAAAAATAGTTACTTCTTTTTCACTTGTCGAAATATGACTCATTTCTTTGTGTTATTGCATTATGTATGAGAGAATGACAGAATGTGAAATTCTATATGCTATTTTATGACTAAGTTGCTTTTTATTTAAAAAAAACTGGTAACAAATGTCAATTGTCGAAAAAAGAAATGAGAGAGAAAAAAATTTGGGCCTAGCCAGGAATTGAACCTGGGTCGCTCGCTTCCGAAGCGAACATTCTACCACTGAAACACTAAGCCTTATGCATTGAAAAGACATGAATGACTCATAGATTCAAATGTTCGTTCTCTTGTTCGACGTGCATTTGAAATAATTTTTGCTGATGTATGAGAGTATACGTATTGTTGACAAATAAATCTATAAAAGTTATGTGAATCGAGAAAAACATTCTCGCTCTCATCTTGAGATGCTCTATTGAAATTTATCGCAGTCTTAGCAAAAAAGGTCTCCTTCTTCAAACCGAGATTTCTGAACACGATGATTGTCTTTATCAGATATATACAAATTGTGAACGGAATCAAATGCAATACTCCACGGTATACTTAAATGTTCATTTCCCGGAATCATTTCTCTTATTTAGGAATAGACACTCAGACGCTACACACGATTGACATCTCTTCCAACGATGTAAAGGTTTCCGTATGGATCAAGTGCAAAATCATTGGGACTGATTAAGTTGGACGCAATCTGTTCTCCTGTAGAATTACTACTGCTGATTTTCAAAATGCTTCCATTCAATGATTCTACGGCATAAACGCTATTGCATACATCCAAGACGAGATTACTAGGGATGCTGTTGACAAAACCAAGAAGTGTTGCGAACGTAGACACATTAATGACACCACCAACAGGATACTTCATGATTCTACTGCTTCCTCTGATAGATTCTGATGAATAAATCTTGTTAGCATGTTTTCTGTTGTCAGAAAGACCTGGAAACCAGTGACATGAATAGACTCTTCCGGAAGCAACTGTCACTCCTTCTAAACCGCCCGGGAACCATTTCTGTACTCGAAGATTACCTCGATCAGTGATGAACAGATTTCCTACTACGTCAACATAGACATGCGTTGGTTCTTTCAATTGATCCAAAGCAGATCCTCGATCATTCCCTCACGTAATAGTTACACCACTATTCGTTGATTTCGTAGAGAATTTTTGAATTCTATCATTATCTCCGTCAGCTACGCAAAAGTTGCCGTAATGATCGATGAAAATACTACTGGTGTTACTGAGTTGTAAGTTAGCGGATCCTTGTTTTCCTGTCGAATCCATTTTGGTTTAGTAAAACGAATGAATGATAATGGAGTTGGCATAATACGTCATCCGCTGAAGTTAAATGTACTTGAACGGTAAAAAGGAGAATAGCAACAATTGGTAGTCGAATAGACTTCGCCATTGTTTAGATTGTTTCACTTCGAGAGAGAACCGGATATGAAAATAAAAACGTGATGTTCATATTCAACTTGAAGCATCCATACGATGCGAGGGTGAGGGTTTGACTATAACTATAAACTAAAACTATTCCTATACTTTTAAAGCTATAGGCGTCTATTTATATTCGAATTGATAGCAGTCTCTTGAATGTGCATTTATAATACAAGTCGAATTAGGCAACTCATGAACTATTCGTTTTCTACCAAACCTGTAACAATGCATATATCAGAACAGAAGAATCTGAAATGATTAATCATGCTTTTAGATCTTAACCTTTTCCTGTTGTCAGTATTGACGGATAAACATCCTGTCACTAAGCAAACGTAAGTGCATTGATTTTTCTAGTCGCTGAAATACATGTGGATATAATATTTATCATTCGAAGCGAAACTTTGAAAAACAGACCAGCATTAGGTGAGCGAGCTCTACGTGAGTTGATCAATGATGACTTATTGAAATTGAATCATTTTTTGCTCGATTCTTGAGGAACAAAACTAGAGTCATATATGAAAATTGAGTTGACAACAATCAACAATCCATCACAAGGATTATTGAGGAAAACTTTAAATTCTGCACAAGTTCTTTTTGCTACAGCTGTAGAATGGAGATAGGCCGAGATCGGCGTTATCTGTTTTATGTAGTCTTTTCTGAAGATATTTGCCAACGTCTGGTTCGACAGACTCTTCTTTTGTGAAGTTGTATATTTTCTTTGCCAATACGAATGGACATCTATGAATTAGTTTCAGAGCCACTCGATATTTGCTTTTTGTTTGCTCGCGTTGTGTGCCCGGAAATATTGAGGAAAGTCATGCGAAGAAGCAGATTACTTGAGTCTTCACGGATATATGTCTGCTTCTGCTCAGCCAGTTTAGTTTTCTAAACGATTTGGTCATATCTAATTTCTTACTCTTCATACTGATTTCTAATTCCGGCTGTTCTTGCAATATTTATCCGTTGTTTTCATTTCGTTGAGTAGTCGAAATGATTTTGGCATATTCTAGATCCTGCTGAGTTAATGAAACTGATCATCTCCATATAGTTTTTTTTTGAATAGGTTGGGTTATCAATGTGCACAAGTCATCTGCAAATATATGTGATTACACTTTCATATTTAGCTCTAGTGTGACATCGAATTAGATATTAGTTATAAAACTTGATATTTTTTTGTAACGTGATACTATATCTACCGAGAACTATCAAAGGACGTGGGAAAGACAGTATAGGTACGATTTCTCTTTGGATCAGATAAAAGATACATCCACCACCTATTATCTCTTGTATCAGAAATCGCCACAGTATGTATGGGTGCTTGTCAAAAGCGGCACTCACATATCCACTCATCACGCTCTTAATCATTTTATGACATACATGTTGTCCAAATGTTTCTCTAAGAAAGAGAACTCGGTGAAAGTGCCTGTCAATGAAAAACAAAGTATTCACTCTATGGGCTAAAAAATATTCTTCTAAATTGATTAAGTGTGAATTTTACCGCAAAATTTTGACAACAAATTGTTTTGCTTTTGTTTTTACGCTCTTTTCTTTTTCAAGGCTTCTCCAAACATCTTCATTTGCTTTCATGGCCATAAGAATTAGTTTCATTTCAAGAGTCCAAAGCAAACGAGATGAATAAAAGCCGATGGCATAAACAAAATTATTTTCATTTACGACTCAGGTTTTACTCCTGCAGGTAAGTAATGATGTTAAAAAATTATTAAACCAATTGTTTCTCTTGTTACTACGAATGTTAAAACGAAGAGTATGATTCTTGAAAGCTTTACTTTTGAATATATTTTTGTTCATGAAATACGAATAAGAAATATTACTGAAATGTGTAGAGCTAATATAGTCTTCATCTTGAGGGTGGGTACGTGTGAAGACAAAAGCAACATTTTCATTCTCATCCTCATCCACCATCTCACCCTTAAGTGTTTCGTTTTTTCCTATAGACAAAGAGCTATACTATTTTAAGAGCTTTTCCTTCCTCTGTTAACAGATTTTTGAAATAAAAATGTCTGAATGTATACTTCCAACCAATAAAGAAGTTCATACAAGAATTGATAATACAATTACACCATATCTTCCACTCGGTGAATATGTTCAATGTGGCCTTTATTGTGTTGCACAAATGTTTATGAATATCGAAGAAATCAAAACTATTTGTAATGCACAACATGAAAATGAAAAACATAAATTTAATCAATTAAATGAACGTTTAAATTTGCTTATCGATCATGTGAAACGACTGGAATTACAAAATGCCGAATATACTGAAAAATTAGCCCTACTTCGACGAGAATCTTCCGATGTCGAATTTGATGAGCGTTATATACAATTAGAAACTGATCTTAAAACCGTTAACTACAAGAAAATTGACCATGAATTTGAATATCAACACTTTCAAATACATAGTGATATATACCAACAATTAATGTATGGTATGACTCAATTTCAAGACCAAAAACAAATCAAATTACAAGAAGAACTAAATCAATCATCGTGTACATTGACTGGTCTACGTAAATCTTATACAGAATTAGAAAACCAAATCAGAACTTATCATACAGAACGTGATAATACTCTACAACAATATCTTAAAGTAACAACTGATTGGGGACATTGTAAAAAGCAAACTAGTCAAGTAAAAATTAATATACAAACATTAAAAAATCAACATGTCTTTTATAAGAATATTCATTCTTTTATATCAAAGTACGTATAAATGAGCTGATTTGTATTTCGAATAATTCTTTTCTTTTTATGTAAGGAATTCATTTACAGCAGCAGTATTTGATGTAAAACAATATTGGACTCTAAAATCAGAGAAAATTCTTGCAAATATTCGTCACGATTATGAATTATTATATGCGTCAATTTATCAAGAAATAAATATTTACTATGAAAAAAGAATGAAAGAAGTACAAATTTCATTTGAGCAAATAAGTGTTGAACAAAAGAAATATTATCAAGAAATTGAAAGTACAATTATAAAAGCGATGCAAGAAAGATTTCAAATAGAATATGAAGAAGTCCAACAAATGTATACCAAAGAAAAAGAACTTAAATTAAAATTAGAAGCAAATATTTGTGAGGAAATATTTAATATTTCTTTGTTATCGATTCTTTTCTTTCTTTTAGCTAGTTTAGAATCTGAATACGAATTAATTAAAGTTGAAAATGAAGAAAAATATGAAGCACAATCAAAAGATCTACATCTTTTACAAGAAAGTATCTTAAGCATGATAAATGGTATTGAACAGATGAGAGAAAGGTTAAGAAATTATGTATTAATAAAAAGAATATGCATCAAAATTTCATATTTTTTAGAAAAACTAATTTAGAAAGTGAACTTATTATCTATCGTAATCTATTAGAATATGATCCTGTAGAGAAATCAGTTATTATAGATTCTCCCCCATTAATTACAACTACAACAGTAAAAACATTCGCTATAAAACAACAAAAAAAAGACTGGATAAGTATTGGTAAGTATCGAATAAGTGAACGATTCTGATTAAATTGTTTTTTGTTGTCGTTTTTGAAGAATGTCCTCTTGATAATACATATGTATGTTTGATAAATCATTCAACAAATAAAGATATCAATATTTCTGGATGGATAATAAAACGACATGTTGATCCAACATTGGAATATGAATATAAATTGCCCAATGGTATACATCTTCCGCCAGGTGGTGAATTAAAAATTTATTCGACATTAGGTAATGCTGCTGCACAGTTCTCATCAAATTATGAGAGCATTTGCTCATCATTACATCAGAAGCTTATTATTAATGATTTACTTTCATGGAGTAAGTTAATTTCTACGAAAATCTAGTTTATTAATTTTTATTTGTAGTTACTGGTGACAAAATCGAAATATGTCTGTTTGATGAGAATGGGAATTATAAAGCATCGTATATACAAACGTTTGCATCCGAAGAAATAGTATCTGCTTAATACTAATGACAGTATATTTTATTCACTTTTTAATCATTGATCAGTAGAGTGGGACAAAAAGCATTTATTTTATTTTTTTTGTGTGAGAAATAAACAATAATTACACTAGTTCTTGTACTATATGATGAATTGTATAATACTTATCCGAATGATTACAAACAATCTACATTTTCTGGAAGATTTAATAAAACTTTCTTAGTCTCATTATTGCAAACGATATTGCTCGAGATTTTGTTTTATACGATAAATGTCGATCTATCGTCACCTTCAAAATTGGAACTGAAGGTTTGAAAAATATTTAATATTTTGTCGAAAAAAGTGAGGGTGGACTGTGGGAGACTTCTTTTCCTGCTCTCATTCACATACACCCTCACCCTCACCCTCAAAATACAAGCAACGTGCCATCGATGCAGATATTGATTGATACAAACGATTACTGTAAAGAAAACCGCAAAAAACATATCTAGGTATTATCGTCTAACGGTCAACCATCAAGCTGAGGTATACGTTCCGAGATCTATACCAAAAATCAAGGATACAGAAAAGGTCGCCTTCGTCAAACGCCGATATGGAAATAGGAAATGATTGAATAACCGAAGCACCGAAAATCATTGGTCTTGAAGTAACAAAAGCTATTCGATTAGCCAGTAAAGATGGTAAAACTACAGCTCATACAGTAAAAATATCATTTAGCGACGAAAAAAAACCGAAAACACATTGGTACAAACTGGTTTACAAGTGGATTGCATGCACTTCGTAGCTGAGACAGCAACACAAAATTCAAAACCGGTGCAATGTTACATTTGCTTAAAATACAAGCATGTAGCAAAGTATTGCAAAAACAAACAACAAGTATGTAGTCGATGTGGAGAAAATCGTCGTATGGGCGAATATACTGTTGCAAATGATGCAGTAAAGTGTTATAATTGTAAATGTAATCATGTTGCTACTTCGAATGAATGTTCACATTACAGAGAACAAGAAAAGAAAATGCAAAATATGATCAACCAATATTCACCCACAAGCAAACAAGTAACACAAGCATAATCCATTTACAACACTAATGACTTTCCTCCTTTATCACAATTTAATCAGCCACAAAAACAAATACTAATGGACAGTATATTCGACTCTGTAAAAAAAAGGTGTCCTACTGAACCTTAAAAAGTTTTAGATTTCGGTACCATTTTCAGAACCTTTCAAGGTTCGAGCATAATACGGTTTTGTATCACACTTTTCAATCTGTAGGAGTAAAAAAGGGTTCCAGTCAACAAAAAACCATTTTGATGTAAAAAACCACGTCATACTGATAGGGCTCCTGCTTAGAACCTAGCCAGCTCCAAATATCTCTATCCCCGTTTATGCTGAAATTAGGAGCTATAGTTACGACAGTTGTGCACAACTGTCGTCCTTTTAACCTACTTTATTTCCTTCCTTCAAATGCATTCAAAATTGATAAAAGCAAACGCCGTTGTACCTCTCAACAAAACCATTTTTCTGGTAAAATTTTCATAAGAAAACCAAGCGCAACACCGTAAAACGGAAACCACTTTTGAGACCTGTAATCTAAATACACGATGGAGACAGTTAACTAGTCAAATTCTCACCTAAGAATGATAAACAAAGATGAACCTAAATAGAAATAAATAGAGTGAACAAGCAGATGAGTTGAAATGATACAAATGAAATCTCACCTGAGAATGATAGTGACGCGTATGATATACAGGAAAAACATGAAAAGGTTAAGCTGTAAAAAGATCTTATGTATCAATGTCGTAATGCTTTACATAGAAGATTCAAATCAACATATTCAGAGTGTTGAAATCCCTGTGTAACACATGAGGGTGTGAGTTGATATGGGAAACACGGTGTTATAAAAGAGTGTGATCCGTAACTTGTGATATGCGTGCTTGATGTCGAGTTTTGGTCCACCGTGTCGAACGCGGAAAAGCAATTGATTGGCGCCTGTTCTCGAAGAAATTAGGGATCAACGGCCCTCTTTAACCGTTCATGGAATTAAACTCCGTCATGACAATGTCAAACCACACATTCATAAAGATGTGACCAGTTACCTGGGATGTGAAGACGTGACGATTATGCCACACTCACACCTATTTGCAGAAGCACAAGTTTGATCGGGATCAAATCTTGTTACAATCCTGTTAGAATATAAGTAAAATTCTATGTGTCTGAGAGGAGAACACTGTAGAAGACTATTTAAGATTACAATCGAGGTGGTACTGTGGCGGTTGCCCGAAGATCTTTTCTTATTTTCGATTGTTTCCAGAGAGATTCGTTTTTTTCCTCAGGTGATCCACCAGGATACTAGTGGATCTCTTTAATTCCTGGTGATGAGAATGAGACAGAATTCTGAAGGTTCTAGTATGGTATAAACGTCGTGGGAGAGAGCAGAAAAAATCACCATTTCCCTGAGGATCCCGAAGGATTCACCTTCTGGAAGTATTGTGCTGGAAGTGTTCTTCTTCCGCGCAGTTTTATTTACGCTGTAAAATAATGTGTTTTTGTTGCTGACATTTGCAGCTGCCACCAAAATAAGATCATTTGTCTTTAGTCTCTCAAGAATGGCATTATTAAATTTTTTATCAACTTTATTTTCGTAGTAAATCGCCCATGTATAAAGATACAGCTTTAAAAGAGATAAATGATAAAAAGTTAGTGTGAATTAAAATGAAAATTAGTACGACATTAAAAAAACCTTTCCCAAAATCTATAAAAGTGAAGATTATTGTTTTAAATCGGCCTATAATTGACTTTCAGTTCACGTCTTCTCACTCAACCAATCAATCAAGAAACTTACGTCCATTGATGTGATAGGCAAAAATAGTGAAGAAATCGGCATACGGAAGTTCAAAAGAAGAAGAAAAAGAATCAAGATAAAAAAAACAGTAGAAGAGGTATAGATAATAAAACAAAGAAAAGAACTACTAAAACTTGTGATCTTAGTATAAGCAGTGCATATATTATTGATAATATAGCAAGTAGCTTTGCCAGTTAAGTGGTCGTTGTGGTAGTATCCGTAGTAGTGCTAGTAGTGTCCGATGTTGTAGTTGTATCTGTGGTGGTAGTAGTATCCGTTGTGGTGGTAGTGGTATCCGTTGTAGTAGTGGTGTCTGTAGTAGTGGTAGAAGTGTCTGATGTTGTAGTTGTATCTGTGGTGGTAGTAGTATCCGTTGTGGTGGTAGTGGTATCCGTTGTAGTAGTGGTGTCTGTAGTAGTAGTAGTGGTATCCGTGGTGGTGCTGGTAGTACTATCCGTTGTACTAGTTGTATCTGTCGTAGTAGTTGTGGTGGAGCCAGTTGTTGTTGTTGTTGTTGTTGTTGTTGTTGTTGTTGTTGTTGTAGATGATGCAGTTGTCCTGGTTGTAGAAGTTGTTGCTACTATAAATAAAAATATGTCAAAACTCGAAACATACCTTATAAGGTCTCTTATTGAATAGACCATATAGGAAATAAACATTTCTCAAATATGCTAATATAAATTTTTTCCCTTACATGATACGATTTCATTGAAGGAACAAAACAGAACTGGTGCGTTAAGAGTTGTTCCGTTTGTTAATTGAATATTTAATGATAATGAACCCGAACCGAATACTGTTTGTATCTTTGATTTAATTTCACTTGAACATTTCTCAAGACAATGATCAGTTTGACATGTAGCTTTGGGACATGAATTAATATAAAATGAAATAGATATCCGGCTACTTTGTCCATTGGTAGTAGCTTGGTTTCCAGTTAGGACTTTGCCACATGATAGTCCATTACTAAACAAAAACATTACTTTTTGGCAAAGTATGTTATATAAAAAACGAACCTTGTTTGACGTTTCTTCTTCTTTTTACTCACAGCAGTACCAATATAGGCATCTTGAACGCTAATTGTTGTACTTTTGATGTCAAGTGAACCACTAATCTGAAATGAAAATATTCAAATTAGATTCACATGCAGAGGAATCTTGAAAAAATTACTTGTTTATTNTACTTTTTGGCAAAGTATGTTATATAAAAAACGAACCTTGTTTGACGTTTCTTCTTCTTTTTACTCACAGCAGTACCAATATAGGCATCTTGAACGCTAATTGTTGTACTTTTGATGTCAAGTGAACCACTAATCTGAAATGAAAATATTCAAATTAGATTCACATGCAGAGGAATCTTGAAAAAATTACTTGTTTATTTAATGAGTCATATCCTGTTAATTGAAGTGGTGATCCACCGTTATCAATATTGGTGGCAAATGATGCATTAAAATATCTCACTAGTAAGAAGATGATAAAAGAAAGGCGTCGCAAATAGAAATAATAAATCTGTTCATACCTTTGCTATTTTGATTAGTAGCGGTACCAGCATCTTTTGTTGGTAAATATAGAGGAATCAACCCAATTACAATAGCAGCAGCAATGACGAATAAGACACCACCTACACAAGCTGCAGCCAAAAACGGCATCCAAGCTGAATTTTTTCTATATAGCAAATTCAATATAAAAAAATAAAATAACGAAATATTTTGGATTCATACTGAGTTCTTGGTTGTGGAAGTTCATCGACATTTCCAGCACGTCGATTCGTGAACTGTGATTTGGTAAACAGAGCAGATAGCATCGATCTTCAGTATGAAATACTTTTTATGACAATAATTTATTATAATAAATATGAAACTTACTTTCTATGTGTTGTATGAATATTGTGTATTTGAAACCTAAAAAAATGATAGAATTCGTTGCCTTTATATATACACGAGAGACAAAGGCATTTTCACACATTTCTGATGTTCCTCCTCTTCAATTTTTCTCATGATTTTCAAATTCCGTATATCGGAAGTTTTCTGCATCATTGCTTTACTGCGTCCGAACAATATTTCTTTTTAAATATTATGCATAATATGTCTGACTTCTTTCTCGAATATGATTCACTAGGATTTCACCGTCATATTTCTAGATAGCTTCCGAGCTTTTTTTTTATACAATGTTGTTCATTTTCGTGTGAAACAGTTTTTCTTTCAACCACGTCAAAGTAATATTAAGCTTTTGGATTGTTTGTATCAACCAAAAGAATATTTTGAAAAGCAACACTTGCTTGCTTTCACTTATCCCAATCGATCAGGCTAATATTCTATCAGTTCTTTCTATTATTGTCATGTGCACATTTGTCTTTTCCTGCCATGAACAAATTCTCAGGTGTTTTTGTCCAATGTCTTTTACTAATTTTTGATCAAAATTCCCGAAATTCTGTATTTTTAATCGTCTATGAAATAATTCATAAAGGATTGTTTTGTGTGAATATAATGAAATGAAGAAAATATCTTCAAATTTATTCATTCTATTCAGTTTTAGATTATTCTTCACAATATTTCTTGAAATTTTACTAATTTACTTTGAGAAGATATGAATGAAGTTTTTAAGAATATTAGGAGCTATGTGTATTTGAGAAAAGTAAACGAAAAGTTAATAGATGCATAAATATATGGCATATGAACATATTTATTTTTTTAAATATTTTTTGTGTTCTTTCATTTTCATATTAACTACTTTAGAAAAAGGTGTATTTTTTATCAAACTGTTAAGGAAATAGTAAATCAATCAATTAGCTAATTCGTTTGTCCTTGTAAGGTGTCTTCAAAAACTGAAATAGCTGGCGGTAAATGAATAAGTGTGAGTTGATTGTACAGGTAAATATTACCGCGTGTAATTGATGGTTGTTTTTCTCTGTCATAAAAATGATTCTCTTTCTTGTATCATGATAAATGATGAAGTATGACATAAAGTTTGATGAAAACTACGTCTATGAATCGGAAAAAAAATAATTTGTTTTTCATATATATATATATATATATATATATTGTATGTCATGTTTTATTTTTAGGGGGCTCCCCCTTCATAATATCACTTTTTTAAAAGACATAGCCAAGTTTAGATTTTATCTGTAGGAAGGTACGCATCAAAACTGTGTTTCTCACTATAACCAATTGGCGTGACACATGCTGTTAGTCACATTTCTGTTATACGCTCTTCCAGATGTTCTCCTTCGTAGGTGTGAAATTGGAACGTGAATAATACTTTAACGAATACATACGCTTTTACCTATCGTTACTGTTAAACATAATACCAATTAAATGGCGTATTTTTAAATGTATTTTCAGTTTCTGGTGGAATCACAGACGTTAAACAACACGTTTACTAAATAACGCTCGTCAAGACGAACTCATATTACTTTCGACTGAAAAGATTCATTTGTAATAATCAATTTGTTTATTTTTAGTTCGTGTAAGAGAAAATGTTCTCCGATGAAATAAGTAGCGCTCATCCGTTGGATTCGCTGACCCTTTTTTGAAAGAATTGAAAAAGTAGTAGATAAAAACTCATTTAGACTTGAATATAAGCGACTTCGAGTTGGAGTCATATTTATGCATATTATTTCCTTTTAATACTTTTCTACGTGATTCATGAGAAATTACTTTGAATTCATCCGTTCAAAGATATAAGCAAAACGAACAATGATTGTAAATATTTATTCATCGACTCTCTGCCGACTATTCAAAAATAAAAAATTGATTTACTCCCGCTTAGGGGCGCATTCAATTGAGCGACGATCATGTGACAATCGTGCGACCGACACAGTCTTGAAGTCAAAAGAATTTAAATTTCTCGAAAATAAGGGTGTGTGAGGACGAGGGACATGAACTCAAACGTTTTCTCTCCGTTCAGTTATCATCACGTGTCTGATTACTCAGTGATTATTCCTGATGATATTGTCTCACATTTTCTCTGACTGTGATTATCTCGTGTCTCCTCTGGATCTCTCACTGTCCAAGGTTTATCTAATTGTTGCGAGCAATATCATGTGAATCTCTTTGTCTATCTGCTCGACGGACTCTCTAACCTTCACCTTTTCCGGGCGCTCATTCTTTGTGTTAACGATTGTTCAATCAATTGTTTTGACTTCAAGACTGTCGAAGAAATGAGTTGTTGGTCAAGTGAACTAGACGCTTCGCTTATTTTATCTTCTCTAAGCTTCTTAAATAAACGCATAGCCGTTCCCATGCGTACTCATTTTACTATCTTAACTTCATTTGAACGAAGATGTTATCCAGAAATGAGGTCATTTTAGAAAATCAATTCATAATCGAAAGCTTACAAACTTTACATACGTATATCATTCTCTGCAAACAGATTTCATTCTTCTCTTCACCACGAAGAATTTTAAAGAGCTGCCAGATATGTTCTTGGAGATCAACGATTAAGTTCTACGTCCTAAAAATCTTGAAACTTATATGAAAATCTGTTCTTTAAAATATTACACTTCAAATCAACGACTGATCGCTAGTCGGCCTTCCTCTGGTCGGTCACTCGCTGAGGGTGTAGAAGAATTTATAGGGAGCGAATTATGTTTCAAATCGATAGAGCTCGTCGAGTTTTACTTGGATTCAGTGTAATCAAAGTTAAAACGCAGTTTCAGGCGAGTTTGTTCTGAAAATAATTGAATTAGGTGCTGAGATATACGTGAATCGCAATAGATAGTCTCGAGGTATCAACCGAAGAGAAACGGATGGGCGAACGACTCGACCATAGAAGTCACATTCTACAAAACCACACTGACGTTTGCAGAAGATGATACTAGATTCATTCCTCCTTTCATATTCGCAAAGGATAGTCGCATTCTTTCTACTCATATCAATCAAATACCATTTTTCGTTTTCGTTTTCTTCACACACAAAACGAAAATTAATAAAATCAACAATATAAAATAAACTAATTAATTTATCAGTATATCAATAATCAACAACAACAAGAACATATTATCACATTTTTCTTGCTCTTACGAGCGGAAAAATGCAAACCTACGTGGGTATTGATGGATCACAAATTTTATATGATCCTCAATCTGGTAATAGCTACACACTCATTGGTAACAAATTCAACAATGACAACAATAATTATAATGGCAACTATAGATACGCTCAACAGTCAAAAAATAACATGCCGCAAAAGTATGACAACGGGTACTACGAACAATGCGGAGCTCATTCACATATGAGTACCAGCACGAAAAGTCAACAACAACAATATCAACACAAATACCAAAAACAAACGAACACGTGGCAGAAAAGTGTACAGCAGATGGATTATGAAGAGAACAACATTCCGGTAGTTTCAATAGATAATGAAAGAAGAGAGTACGGCTCAGCAATACGCACAAGTACTCCGGATCAACGTCAACGAGAACAATGCAACTTAATTACAACAGAAGATCACTCAGATGGCTCAGCGAACAATTTTTCATCACAACATCCATTCTCCTCAGATCCAAAACGACCACTCAATGATAGCGGAGAATTCGTTATCAAAAGCTCAAATAAAACAAGAAAGAAATCGCATCATAGAGAAGACCAGCAAACCAACACCATCACCAACGAAAACGGAAAACCCAATTATCCAATTTCGGTGGAACATCTTCAAAGAGCAGTTTTAGCAAGGCCAAGATTCAACTAGTGGAACAATTCTCTGTTGTACGCTATAGTGGTCTGCATCTAAGAATAGGTGTGAAAAATAAAGACGACTATCGTATGCTATGTGATGAAAAAAATTGGCCTTCGAAAACACTAGGAAGAACAATCTCAGTCAATATACCAAAATTTGTTCCGGAACAATTTTCACTGGTGGTCAGATTTGTACCGAAAGAATTCGATACAGAACAGGCTGCACGGGAAGTAAAACGATCAGCAAGTGCAGCCAACAACTTCCGAGAACTTATCTACCCATATACGAGAGCAACAAAAGACTTTCGGTTCTCAGTGACAGATTTAAAAGAATATAATGGTTTATTGAAACTAGGCCATATAGGCATTGCGAACATGATGAGAAAAATTACTCCGTACAGACCATCAAATAAACTTACATATTGCACCAAGTGCTGAAGATTAGGACACATCAGAATTAAATATCAGGAAACGTCACAAAAATGTAGAATATAAAGTTTTTCTTTCTCGTTCTATGCAGGAAAGAAGACAGATACTTGTATAGATCACAAGGCTGTTATTTATTTCTTTATTCTTTTCTGTCGAAAACACATACACACNTTCAACTAATATGAGACAAGAAATCGTTAGTTGAAACAGTTTTTCTCTAAATATTTAGAACGACACAATGAGATTTTTCTCTATCCAGAAACTGTCGATGATCGACAGTTTTTTGTTTATTTTAAATTAATACGTTGTTTAGTCCGAAACTGAACGATCAACATAAAACTATTGATTTTGCTCTGAAAAACCATTTTTAATTATCATAGAATTTCACACTCCTTCGTATTATTAACTTTTTAATTAACCATCATCTCTCAAAAACGTCATATAATGTCGCTCGTTCTGCTTGTATACGATATTTGAACTTTCCTTTAATATAAGAAAATTCACTAAGTACAGACTTCTTTATTATAAAATTATTACTTCAATTTTTATATTTTAGGTAACTTGAAAATATGCGTTACGATCCAGCCTAAAACGAACATGTGCTGATCATCCAAATAACCAATATTGTTCCAGAATTTCAACTTCAGATAGAAAGCAAAATGGCAAAATTGCTGAATAGCATGCACATTAAGGGGTAACTAATAATTAAATATTATTTATTACTTTTTTGCTAGATAACAATAATGCTATGTAATAATGAAATCTCTGATGAAATTAAATCCAAACTGGTACCATTACAAGTTTTGTTTCGACTGAATATTAGTATGTTCAATTAAGTTTATGGAAAGAAGCATTTATTATATCGATAAGATACCGAAAGCGACGCACGAGATTGAGGTAGTTCTTTCCTTCAATGGGTGTTGTCTCTTCGGCAAACAATACAAAAATACTAAAGAATTCTGGTAATAAACTGATGTCGCGCTTTGCCAGTACAAGATTCGGGCGGTGAATATCACGTAAGAAATCGTTAGTAATGCTCGCGAGATTTCCAGTGTTCTACAGGCAGTATTGTATTGTAAATTCCAACATGTCTTGACAGCGGTTGGAATACTAATGTTGTGAGCCTGTAACTTCTCAGCAAAAGGCACTGATTTGTGACTAAAATATTCAAAAACGATGCGAAATACTGGAAACAAACTGTTGTGGTACTGATGACAGTGATCAAATCTTACCTAAGCGTTGCAATTGAAGCAATTTTTCGATAGCTGACTTCATAATAAAACAATCTTTTAAGCCATCGCCAACTGTCAATTGTAAAGTATGCGCAAAGCACAGAATACGGAGGCCCTCTTCTTATTGATCGATAATAATTTCGTTCCTTTGCTCTTCGGATTGCAATTCCTCTTCTTGACTTGACTCTTCATCTTCATCTTCATCTTCGGGCTCGAAGTACACTTCGAAACCTGATATAATTATAGCCTCTAGCGCTTTTGTATTATTCGAAGCATTGTCCGTTACGATCCAGACTAGTTTCTCTTCGATGTTGAAAGTAACCATAACGTCCTCTAGTTCACGACGAAGATTCTCACCCGTATGAGATCTTGAAGAATATTATAAGATACAACGATAGATAAAGATAGTCCGAGACATACCAGATAGTGGTTTAAATGTAAGTAAATAATTGTTGAGTTCTACATTGATTTCGTTGATGGTGTGCACTGTGACTGCGAGAAAGGCAGGCATACGGCGATCAAACCAGACATCAAGAGTGAATGAAATAAAACGTGCATCATGACAAATTCTTTTAATTTTCATTGTAACCTGTTCAAGAGCCGAGGGTAATACTGTACGACAAAGCGTATAGCAAGACAATAAAACAAATTTAGGGTAGACGATATTCATTGCACGGAGGAAAGTAGGATGATTGACCATTGAAATAGGCAATCCAAGATGTTAAGTCACTTACGATCATACGAGTAAGTTCTTGTTGACGAGGGTTTTGAGCACCATATGATCGATTATCTAAGGGTTGCTGATAAACTTTAAATGATAAATCTTGGAAGATAACTTACTTTTTCGTAGAAATAGTTCTAGAACTTTTTTCTCAACAGTCGTCTTTGTTTTTACAGCTGTTTGCCATTGATCCATTTCGACTCTGTGTTTTCGTTCAACGCGTCGTTTATAGCTATAAGTTGACTCTGCTGATTGTTTTATACTGATATGACATAAAAGACATTCAGCCGACTTGATACCATCATCAGTAGTGTGAACATCACCGAAAAGTCTCTGTAAAATGTGGTTAGCCACTTTTGTAGCATCGTACAATAGTATGAAAGCTTCCGAGTTATTGGCCACGATAGGAGATAATTGTGAATCTTCCTTGCTGGACTCGTCTGACATGGAAGACAATTCACGAGCTTCGTTCAGCATGCGACGAGTGTATCTAAAGATTCATCCACTCTACTTCATCGAATTTCATTTATCTCGCACTGTTCTTCCTACATAGTTATGTCTGACCACAAATTCGTGCACTGCTATTGGTATTTTACTGAACCAATTAAGATTGGACTTTTCTTTCATAAATATATAGTGGTATGTCTTCCCTATAATGATATGTTGAGAAACTCGTTTTTCAAATTGATCACAACAGTTTTTTTCAGATACATTATGGTTTGACCCGAAAAAAAATGGGCAATGAGTACAACCCATACTATATTAGAATTCGAACTACTTTGGGAATAGCTCTACAGGCAATTCGCGAGGAACTTGTGGCAGCTTTAGGACCTGGTGCTCCAGCATATCGAACAGTTGCAAAGTGGGTCGAACGTTTCCGTGAAGGACGAAAAGATGTCAATGATGATGTTCGAGCCGGTCTTCCGAACTTACAGATGAAAATATTGATCTGATACGACAGGTTATCAGCAACAATCCGCATTCAACTTATGATAATATTGTGGCTGAGACATTTCTCTGTCATTGTATAGTTGAACGAATTATCCGTGATCACCTCAAACTAAGAAAAGTTACATCACGTTGGGTGCCCCATCAACTAACTGCTGAACAAAAAGAAGAATGAATTAAACTCTGTCGTGAGAATTTAGCGAAATTCTGTGCTGGTTCTTGGAGATTATGTAACATTATTACAGGGGATGAAACGTGAATTTACCACAGACAGATCGGTCACAAGTCAGCAAATGCCAGTTGGATTGTCGAAGGTCAATCACCAGCAACCGTAGTTCGTCCAGGCAGATTCGAGTCGAAAAATTTATTCAGTGCTTTTTTAACCCAATAGCTCTGTTCTTGCACATGCCGTTGATGAAGGCAAGACTATTGATCATGCCCATTGCGTTGAAAATTGTCTCAAATCCGCTGTCAAGAAAATCTGGTAACAACGAAGGCCAAATGGTACGAAAGGTACCAAACTGCTTCATGATAATGCTCGACCTCATCGACATTCAGATGTTATTGACTATTTAACAAAAGAAGGTATCAATATAATGTCGCATCCAGCACATTCGCCTGATCTTGCACCGTGTGATCATTGGTTAAATGGTTACATAAAGAGTCGTTTAACTGATCAACCAGAGGAAACATGTTTGGCTCGCGCGGTTTCCAAGATAGTAAAAATATTTCAGAAGAAGAGTTAAAAAAACCTTAGACAAATTGTTAGAAAGAATGGATCTTTATATAAACAATTACGGTGACTATTGTGAACATTTAGTAGAATAAAATTCAAACTTTCTCTTGATATTCATATTTATTTCGATTGCTGTACGAATTTTTGGTCAGACCTAAGTATATCCCACATTTTCGTTTTGTTTACGAAACGAGCAAAAGAGAAACATGGAGCTATTCTCGGAGCGACCCATCTCTGGCTCGAAACAACCTTTTGATCTGGCCTTTTTATAGTAAATATATGGAATTGCTCAACCATCTGATGTACGCTGCGGCCAAACCTTTCCGAAGCTGATCAGGATAATGAGCTTCTTTTTATTAATTTTGCCAACCATAAAGAATAGTATTTGATTTCCATATACCCATTGATAAACGAATATGTGTTCTGAAATAAAAATGATTTTTGAACATGATAAACCCTCAGAAAGGGCTTAAGAGAATGAAACGGTAGAAGTGCCCTTTTAGGGTTGCCAAACGTATAAGCTCTTCTGTAACGGGCTATTTTGTTTTGATAAACTGTGTTATTTACTATTTCAATGAGTAGATCAAAAGTTTTACCACAGTGTGATAAACGGTACCGAAGAGTATTTTTATCGTTGCATTTTAATAAACGGTGAAAAGGTTTATCATTCTGCGCTTTTTTATCAGTGTAACACAGGATAATCAACTAGTCACAAATGAATGATTGCTCCTAGAACGACGGATATAAAGCGAATGTTTTTATTTTTCGCACAAGATTCTATCATACGATGTAATACCGACAAGCGATACTCGACTGCTTTAAATGTTAGTAAGTAGTAGCCCTTTCATCGAAAATTTAAAATACCTCCAGACACCATAGACATTCGAGTGGTCGCAAAGAGAGCCTGCAGATGGTACACCGAACGATGGGACAGAAAATTTGAGGAACTTTTTTTATAACGTGAGGCGAAATTTGTCCCAATATAGCATCTTGCCTTACCCCCATGATCTAATTATGCCAGCAAAAACTTATTCATTCAAAAAACGTTTTCTTGATACTAATGTTCCACTTTATCACTTGACTACTGCAGATCCCAAAGGCGCTAGCAAGAACGGCTACGATCTCAAATTTGCTCGTTAGATATTATTTTACTTCTGTAAAAAGTCATGGGGCTGAGATGAAACAAAAACAGTTTATTCTATCCTATAAGGAGTTCTCCTATGTATTTCATGACAAACTGTGAACGTAGAAAAACTCTCTCATCAATAAAGAACAAATATTTTACAAGCGACGGACGACCCATAAAGAATGTCACCTTTTGTATTTTTATGATATCTCGTTCGTTTTTCGCTCTAGTAAATCAGTTTTTTTCTCGAAATATTTCTTTTTTAAAGCTGTACGAGATACGGGCTTTTTCTTACTGAAAACAACGCTCTTCACTTGAGACGTGTGGTATAATCGATTAGCTCGATATGTACAACTTGTTGGCGAACCTTTCCAATCACTCGTTTCATCTCTCGCTGAGAACAAAGAGCAGACTAATTCATCAGCTCCTCAAGAAAATTGCTTATTTGCTTTATACCACCCTTTCTATCTGCTTAGGCACGACTGACTATGCGTAAAAGATTATTTTGAGAATTGTAGTTGGATTTATGTTAAATAATTTCCCGCCTGAGAACAGAATCTTCATCGCGTCCACCTTTCCAAAAAGTGTTCGTAGTCAGTTCGAAAGAAGTTTTCTATACTCTTTATATTCGTCGGTTAGCCATATGTCCTGCACACCTCTAAGCACAGCGACAGATCGATCCAACCAATTTCACGGATTTTTTTGTAGCATCATCTAACTGCTGAAAAACTGATGAAGCTTCGCCTTTCTCGTACTTTGAAAGTGCGAGTTCTGGCAAATATGCCCTTAATTGTTAGATGCAAGCACTAGGCGACTGTACACCGAAAAAAAAATCAGCAGAATAATAAACCCTCAAAAAGGGTTTGTAACCGAAAAAATCGATATATCAACGTGATATACACATTGATCAATCCTTTTTTCTTGATCAACCCACGAAGGGTTTGTAGCCGAAAAATCGATATATCAACGTGATNACCGAAAAAATCGATATATCAACGTGATATATACATTGATCAATCCTTTTTTCTTGATCAACCCACGAAGGGTTTGTATTCCGTTGCAAATTGATATACCCACAGGTTGACTCTCTCTTGATAAACCCTTTTTGCGCTGATCAAATGAATGAACCCTCTACTATGGAATTTTTCAGCACCTATAAGAAACCCATCGTTTTATGATTCATTCATTTGATCAGCGCAAAAAGGGTTTATCAAGAGAGAGTCAACCTGTGGGTATATCAATTTGCAACGGAATACAAACCCTTCGTGGGTTGATCAAGAAAAAAGGATTGATCAATGTATATATCACGTTGATATATCGATTTTTTCGGTTACAAACCCTTTTTGAGGGTTTATTATTCTGCTGATTTTTTTCAGTGTAGGAAAACGGATTTATCAGAGGGGTAGATCATACTGATAAGCCAATTTTGCCCTCATAAATTCTTTTTAGTGTAAGGTTATGATGTCAATTACCTTTGTGATTATGATTGAAATCTGTATGTATACACGATTTCCACCTCTTAAAATTACGTCAAAATAGAGTCGAGCATTTTAAGTTTTAAGAGATTGACAGTTTCGAGTATAACCAGTTAATGTTTTAGTATAAAATCATGTAGAGACGCAAAAGTGTCGGCAATTTCATTCGTAAATCTCAAAATGGATCTTAACATTATGATTCTATCTTAAGAAAGGGAAAATACCTGTTGCCACGTTTTTTTTAGTAAAAGTAGATATAAGAGACCTCTAAGTTTGATCAAATTCTTTCCAGTGCAGTTATACGTTGCAACAGAGCGAAAATACCCGCTGCCGATCCTTGTCGTGAGAAAGTCTTGCGAATAAAAAATATCTGTTGGCGAATTTTCGAGTACAAGTGGCAGAGATACGCGCCATCCAGATGATGCGCAATTGTTAGGTCTCTCATGTTGGCCACGAGACCATTCTCAGAACTATTAAAAACTACTGATTAATAGTATTTTCAACTCTAATTCGTTCGATTACGGTCGAATTATCAGACGTTGATCAAAACTTACAAAATTATTTGAAATGAGCATGAAAAATCTGAAAACTGCTTATATTTCTATAACCTTTCCCCATTTTATCGATGGGCAGTTATGCTCCTAAGTGCAGTTTTTCGCAGGCGTTCATTTGGCATAAAATTGTTGGTGTCGACGTTGAAAAGATAACAGTATCCCCATTTACCAAAAAAGTTATGCACAACACGATATATTCATTACAAATTTTTCACGATCTATTATCCATCTTCAACCAAATTGGGCAGCCTCACCGAACCCCTACCCACCCCGTATAAATTTAAAAACTTGTATTCTCCACTCGTGCATTCGTGGTATATAGCGTGTTGTAAAACATTAAACGGCGAGTAAACCCCCGCCCCCCTGTAATAGAAGCCCCCTATTTTTTTTCAAAGCTTTTTACGGGGTTTTTCAGGATTTTTCGTAACTTTGTCACCATAAAATTTGAGGAGGCAGTAGATCCTGAGGTAAAGAAGTAGTAATAACCCCCAAAAGAGCTTATGATCACATACAAATCTGTCAAAAGCTCCTAAAAACATAGGCACCTAAATTTTTCAAAAACTGATGGGACATATTAGAAGCCCCCCTAAAAAGCTTTTTACGCTTGCCAAATTAGAAGCCCCGGGGGGCTTCTATTAAAAAAATAATGAAAGTTGGTCATAATACGAAAGGTGATATTCTTTATGGCTCACATGGCAAGTCGTTTTGGATAGGTGACTAGTAAATGAGAAGGCTAAATTCCCATAATCTCACCGCACGACAATACTTTCTACTGAATTTCAACATATAAGAAGGTAAACAAGCGCCCTTTTTGCTTTCTTCCTTGTAGTTGTCACTTGATCCTCGTTCGATGAGCTTACTCGTATTGCAGCATCTTCTATCTCAAGAACTGTTCGAAACGCGACAACGATTCAAATCCTGCTCTATCTGCAGCACTTAATGGATCCAATTGAATAATCAACTAGTGGAGAGTTTGAGACCCCAACGTAAACTCTATTGATTCCAACAAATTTTTGGTTCTGAATTCGGTTTTAATTACAGCCAAATTTAGAACACATGAATTTTATTCTCAGGATTATTCTGCTAATACATGGTTCTATTCTTAAGACATATCTACCGATTATTAGCCGATTACACGTATACTCGAACTTCCATCATGATTTTTGCGTTAAAGAAAAGCGACGAGTACTCGGAAAATGTTTCGTACGTATAAAAATATTCTAGGATTTGAATCAGGTCGGACGGATGATTTAGGATCTGTTTGAGGGATGCTAGTCCTCAGATGCCACCTAGTAGAGGCCACGAGGACTAAAATATTCTACTCCAATTAAAGGAAAGACTGGAGGTAGTTTTAAAAGAGTGGAAGTCGATCATGTTCTGTTAAACTGTACTTTGATCTTGGCAGTCTTACAGAGGGAAAGACAAACATCACTTGATTGCGACTTGACACCATTTCCCACTCTTTGTTCGTACTGTTGCCGTGCATCCTTCTCAGGCCCTTCCCAATTATACATTTCACTGTAGGATGTGATTTCGATGTAATGAAGCTATCACATATATGAAGCAAAATCATACTGTTTCTGCTTTGACCCGGAATAAAAACATGCAAAGCCATAAACTAGTTTTTTTCATATGATCCTCTTTCGAATTGACAGAGATCAAGCTCTTCGTATCGTAACCGATTTTGTTGGTGCTGACAGGTTTTTTATTAGAGTAGTGCTTAAGAGGCGTATTAGTATTAATACAATAGATTTTCAATAGATAAACATTTGTTGTAGAAATAGCCAGAAAATGAAATAAAATGCCATGGTTTTTCGAAAGACATTTCGGTTCACAGGAGTAAAAAAATGTGAAGATTATCTCTCCTATTTCAGACACAAGCTTGTTTTGTGCCCACGTTAGAGGCTCGGTAGAACTGCTATAAAAATGTACTATTGTTTCGCAGGAGTGCCATTACTTTGAGTGGGAGATCATAGTGCAGATCATGGCTTCTGATCAATTCCAAAAGTTTAATAGAACTAGCATGAAGCGTTAAATGATTTCGAACAATTGCCTGAAGTCTCATAGAATTGATTCCTACACGGAAAAAAATTAATGTTCATGAATTTGCAGCGTATAATAAACCCTTACTTGCATTTTTGAAGTGTTTAATAAACGGAAACAAGGATATAGACGTTCATGAAATACGGCTAAAAAGGGGTCTATTATACGTTGCAACTTCTTACACCCTTTTTCGTTTATTGCGCATTAAAAATGATTTTACCTTTCCGCGTTCTTCTGAGATTTTTTACAACGTATTCTCATATAGCAACCGAAAATGCGAAAAAACCCTTACTAAGCAACCCGTAGCCTCGTTATATTCTCAGTGATTCTCTGTATTCTTCCATCACGAATAATCGGTTATGCAGCACTATAACTGAAATAAAGCATATATGTCCGTCATTTGTTCCACTTCAAAAGATCGTTAATACTCATCTCGTCTAATCTGGGAAAAATTTTGTATCACTAAACTGATCAGAAAAGCTCAGTAGGTACTTAGAAGGTTTCAAACGTGTCGGCGTATTGGAAAAAAAAGCGTTTTTCCAAATCTGCAAAATCTAAAAATAATCTAACCGTGGGGACGCATTTTGAACCATCGTAATCGAAATCTTTTCAAATTCTTTACGATCCACGTCGAGCAATCATATGCCAATGCTTCTTAAGTATCCTACGCTTCATCATACAAAATTCGCAGTCTTAAACTTGCACTAGTTCGGGCTACGTAAGACCAAAATTCTTATGGCATCGAATATCATCAAAACATTCCCCTAACACGAATGTTTTCTCAAGTCTTCGCGCCAAAATTTGTACTGGAAACTGTAGCATTACTTGGTTTAGGATTTCAGATATCATAATTTTTTGTCAGATCTTATGCAAGATTTTTTATGTGGGAACAAAAGAATGTTTATTTGAGGAATACGGAAGCCAAGGTTTTTTGTATGGAACTATAATGCATAGCAGTATGGTTGTAAAATATCATGTTGAAATCCTTTTTCGCTGTACAAAACTTTAAAAGACCCCTTGAGTGATGACTCGGTGCGTGTGCCCACCGACAGAGATTTTTAGTTTTCGCAGAATTCGAAAAAGGATCTCTTACAATATGTCGGCGCATTTCAAACCTATCGAGCAGTATAGACCAGATTGGTAATCTAGATAGGAACAACGATGAGATGTCAACCCTTTTATGATAAATTAAATTTGTTAAGGACTATCTGTGCTCAACGTTTTAAATTGGAATTCAAAAGCTGAGTTTCATAGTATTTTTCACAGGAACCATTATTTTTTATGAGTGACACTTTATCTTTACTTCAAAACTTAAAGTTAAAGTCTTGTTCCTTCGACTGCCTGCCAAAAAATGCCATAGAAATGCATCAACTCAGTATCTGTAACTCACCAGCGATTATATGATGCAGACATGGCCGATACAGAAAGCTGTTGTTTGACGCTGTGTACTTCCATGGACCGCGCGAGACCAAAATTTTAGGGAAAGCAATCAATTTTCGAGACAGAGATACCTTTGTTGATAGAGAATTCAGTGACATAATTTACCCCTTCCATCTCCACCCACAAAAATACATAGATATTTCGACTTTGCCGTATTAATTTACTCATCTTCTAAAAATGTTGGCGCAAATCTTCGCTAGTTTCTAGAAAGGTATTGAGATATTATAGAACAATTTTCAGGAATCTTTTGCGAAATCTCCACAAATTTTATGAAAACCTGATGAATTCTTGAAAATTTTTTATGCTCTTATAAAAAATTCTGAAAATTTTAAAACCAGTTTTCGAAGAACTGCAATAATTTTTTAAAACTTTTCTGTCAAAACATTCCTATTTTGAGAAAAACCGATTGCCCTTCTTTTTCTTCCTCCATGTTCACTTCTGATCATTGACAGTCACATAGCAAAATTGTCTGTATAGGCTTCTTTTCTTCAAGGTATGATATCTACAATTCTCGAATACCAATTCATCTAATAGCGCGTTAAATCCAAATAAAATTAGTGTATGTGTTTTAATTGAAAAATCATCCTTTCGAAAAAATAAAATAAAATCTCGAGTTAGCTATCAGTGCAAATTGCTTTTTGCTTTTGTAACCATATGTTCTCATAGAAAAACGTAATTAATTAAAGGGATTAATTACTGTTCATTATAATGCTGGTGTGGCATCTATCAACACAATTTGTAGAAAAGAAGGGAAGTCCCACAATGGCTACATGTTTTTTTAATAAAAGCTATCAAAAAATGTGTATATAAGAGAAGACAATAAGAATTATCAAACGATGTAGTAGTTAGGTGAGGCAATAACTTTTTATTGCCTCCCATAATGTTGTTCCGGGGAGGCAATTGCCTCCCTTCGCCTACATGGTGCGCCGCCAAAGTGTACTCCCCCGACAGTTATAAGAAGTTTAGTGATACAATCGTTTGCTTGGTAGAGAAATTAAGAAATCAATGATCACTGGGAGAAGCAACATGGGTACGAACCCTCGAGGATTTTTTTGTAGCATGATCACTTATACATAGAGATAAAATGTGAGGAAAATCAATGTGAATCACTCAGAAAAAATTAATTTATCTGTTGATATTATTTCAGATTAATAGGCTGCTATATTAGCATTCGCTTTTATTTTGGAGTTAAATACTTTAATTTAACCTAATAATGTTGTCAGCGGCACGAAAATACTTTCCCAAGAAACAAAACAAACAACAAGCCGAGCAGTCACTGTCACCTACTTTGATCCCAACAGGAAGATTAAAGGCAGTTGCATCGTCTGCTCAACAGAGAGTTTGGTTGGATGAACAAATCTCTTTCAATCCTTCCAGATCGCCAGCCCTTTATAATATAATTTTACCATTGGTAATCAAACAAGGTTCCATACTCATTTCTAGCATTCGATCAGCCATAGTCCACACACTGGAACGACATGCCGTTCTTCGAACAGCCGTCTTCTTTAACCAAGAGAGTGGCGAACTCGAACAAGCAGTGCAACCAATTATTGCGGATCAGAATTATTCGTTTGAAGTTACTCGTGGTGCAAAATCTTTGGAAGAAATTGAGACACTACTTGTAAGTGAATTTACCACTCATTTTGCCCAAGTGGAGCATGGTCTGGTTGTTCGATGTCATCTAATTAAAATGAGTATGAATAGTGAAGACGAAATAGAAGAGACGTTACATGCAAAAGATATCATCATATTCTTAATTCATCATATCGCATTCGACATTAGCTCCGTTAACACATTTATCGATACGTTTACAGGAGCATATGATCTGCGTGAACCACTTGATTCTACATTGCAATATATTGATTATGCTCTCTACGAGCAGAATTTACTAGCTGATCCAGCTGAAAATTCTAAGATAAACGAAGCACGCCGGTTTTGGTCTACATTGATGAGTGGATACGAATGGTATAATGATTACTCGTTAATTATAGGCACTACAAGCAAAACAAAAGTACGATCTGGTCTAGGTCACGCGGTTTCATTTGATCTAGCCTCTGATCTAGTTCAAGCTCAAATAGAGTGTGCTATGTCAAACAATGTCTCGATGTTCCAGTTGGGCTTAACATGCTTCTTTGTATTTCTCTACAAGCTGTGTAATAGTAACAGATATGACTTTTGTGTAACTAGTGCAACGGACAACCGTCATTTACCAGAAACAAAAACAATGATTGGCATGTTTGTTAATCTTCTGATTTACCGCATGAAAATTGATCCTGTCGAATCATTTACTACTTTAATGCTACGAACTAGACAGCTATGCATCAACGTGCTTCAGCATGCTGAATTATCTTATGATAAAATTATTGACAACATTAATAATTCCCTGCCACCTAAAATACCTTTCCACTTCCAGTACCAATCTGTTATGTCATCACTGACATATGGAGCGACAGAAGTTACCAAGATGAAGGATGCAATACTAAAATCATATTCTGGTCGAGACTGGTCTCATGGCAATGGTACTGCTTTGAATGATCTATCGTTAACTATGACTCATGATTATCATCGACAAACAACCCATTTTATCTTTGAATATTCTACCGATGTTTTTGATGATACAATGGTATCTACAATAGGTCGACGTTTCCAACATTTCCTGTCCCAAATATTTTCCACAGATGTTGACAAAAATCAATTGAATCAAAATTATGACCCAATATCTAAGTTGTCTATTTTACTGTCGGAGGATACTGATGAAATCCCACGAACTGTCTTCTATCGATTGCCAAGTACTGCTTATACAGGTAAGGGTTTTATCTGGTTCTGTTAAGAGTTACACCCATATATGAGAGAATAAATTCATGATCCCATTACATTTATTGTCTACATTCAAAGACTGAGAGCTTTGATTTACGATTTAAACGGTACTGACTATGGCCGCTTCAAGCTGTAAGGATACACTGGGATCACTTTTATCCCCATTTAAGCTGGTAACATGTAGTTTGTCCTAGATTTCTCGACATCCTTGTTTGAATCTATTTTGCTTGCTCTGAGCCTCATGGCATCATCGATTAGAGGTGTCACGCGTAGAATTATCACAACTTACATTTACCTTGACTATAGTTATAGTATCTTTCTTCGTAACTATTCATCCTTCAAGATGACGAAGATTTTCTTTTCTCTCTCGAAGATATATACTGCACAAAAGAGAAAAATCTTTTATTTCACTCCTGCACCGACCTACTCCGCTAATACCTCAGTACTATGCGAACGCACTATAACCTTATCCAACTTTACTACAATTTGGAAGCGGTTATTGAAATAAGGCATCTTTTTCACCGCAAATATATCGTTTGAAGGTATTTCTCTAAACAATCCTCTCTATTCTTAGACGTCCATTCCATATTAGCAGCCTGCCCAGAGTTTTGCGACTTGCTGATCATAAAAAACGTCTTCAGTATCTGAATCTTAAACAGAACGCTTTTTAAACAAATTTTTATCGACTTTAAATAGCAAAACTTGAAAAACAAACAACACTTTCACATCAAAAGAATGTCAGAAAACTTTAGTTAATCTCTCAATTGCTTGTAAAAATTTGGTACCTCAAATTTCAGGAAAAAGCTATACGACGTACCAGAAAACATTTCAAAACATTTTAACGCTCGCCAGAATAAAAGCTTTTGAAGACTTCTATTATGGTGAAGACGGGAAAAGGTTGTATTAATGCGGAAAACTTCCTTTCCATGCATATATTTTACGACGCAATATAGAGGAATACCATCTCACTAGATTTTCAATATGGACAGATCGAAATAAAGCACTCAGTTCTTAGCCGACTAATCTGGGCATTATCGGTCACTGTTCTTTATGAAAACCGCTTGTTCGTTTTCAACGTTCGTACATAGGCTATCTTCCTAAACAATAGAAAATTGACGTGTGTTATGCTTTGTAGACGTGCTCATAAGCAACGAGAGCAACAACATTTAATATGAAATATGCACAGCCTTACCAGCGAAGCAAACTCAAAATCTAACAAAGAAGACAGCGAAACCTCTCTTGCTTTTCTGAGCAAGTATTTTTTTGGTGACCGAGAGCGTATTCGACATCTTGCCTTGTTTTGAAAAGATTGTGCGCTGCATGCAACTTATTTGAAACCGAATGTATCATATTTAAGGTCTCGCATCGGGAAGCTTTTCGGGATTCTTCGTGTCCGATTATTTACAGAGCAGAGACTAAAACTTAGCTCTTGGATTTTTTGGAAGGTGCAAGATGGACAAGGAATTTAATTCTCTAGCAGATGCTTGCATTTTTTAATCTCACTCAAGATCGATCCCAGAATAGTAGCCAGCGGGATTCCGAACCTCGATACAGCCCGAGAATGTCGGGATTTTTCTATCACGTTAGTATTTCACTCATGACACATTTTCAGTGAGATCCGAAAAGACAATGATCTGGCACAGAATTTGATCCTCTATTTATCGTACATCTTCAAAAAATTCCAAAAAAATGAGCTCTAGTCTCTACTCTTGAAATACTGAATCCCGAAAAAATCCCGAAGCAGGATCCTAACCATATTTAAAGATCGGCACTTGACAGTCATGCAGATCTATGTGTATCAAACAATTTTCAAGAACAGTATAAATAAGAAATAAAGTAATAAGTAGAAGTGGTGAAAAAACACTTTGATACCTAATTTTGATTTCCGATCTGCTATTTTCTCAACAAATGGCAATCTCTGAACATAGCCAACACCAATGCTTATTTTCATAGCACCAGCTTCATATGCTCAATCGCGCGTTTGTCTGGACGAACAACGAATTCATTCTCATTCCGATCAAAAACTCATGCCAATCCACAACAAAACTTTCCTTTATCGGCTTGAACATGAGCATACCCTATCAATTAAACGACTTCAGCAAGCTATTCAACAAGTTCTCATCAAACATTCAGCGCTTCGCACTTCGCTCATCTTCCATGCGGAACAAAATCTATTTCTTCAACGAATTATTCGCTTTAGTAAGGACGACTCATTTGCTTACATAGAAAGCATCTTTCAAACTGATGAACAACTCAATGACATCATCAACGATGAAAGGCTCAATCCTCGACATTTCGATCTCGATCAAGGTCGCGTCTTTCGGTGTCATCTCGTTTACTACAAACAAGTTTCTTCAGAAGATCTTCTCTCTGATGAAGATGTACTTATTTTCAATTTTCATCATGCTGTCTTTGATAATTCATCAATGGACATTTTCCTTGCAGATCTGAACAAAGCTTACAATACAGGCGAATTAGAAACTAACGACGACAACAGTTTGCGTTATTTGGACTGTAAGTGTCACTCACGGATTTCTTCCTCAAGTTTTCAGAATAGTCACATTTCTCCGTTTGTTATTCAGATGCGTTGCTGGAACGACAAATGCCGATGACTACTGCCAATCTGTTTTGGCTTGATTACCTTCATGGTTGTGAACTCGATCAACGATTACTATTACCATATGATAGACATAATCTTGTGGATGAACATCGAACTGGTCGTGGAGCATCTTTTTCTTTTGATCTCGGTGGGAAACTTTCACTAGAATTTCTTCTTTATGCATTGTCAAATAAGATCAATGTGGAACACTTGTTAATTGCCAGTTACTATGCACTTCTCTTTAAATTAAGTAATGACGAGAGAGATTTATGTATTGGAATAAATATCAATAATCGATATAAAAGTGAATTGAAAACAATCATTGGATTATTTGAAAACATTATCCCAGTTCGGTGTCACTTAAACTCTCATTGGACTGTGCATCAATTAATTAATAATATTTGTGAAACACTTGATAATACTCTACAGTATTCTTATTTTCCTCTTCAACGTATTCTGGCACAACATTCGAATATTTCAAAAGCTGCCTTTCTTGATATTTTATTTGAATTTCAATCAAACACAAGACAAATAATGATTGGTGATAATCAACTCTATGATCTAAATAAATCAATGACAAGCGACGAAAATCAGACAATAACCATCTCTGATCTCGCCATTATTTTTCAACATGACATGCACGATAACCGATTCTCATGTACAATTAATGCATCACTTGACTCGTTTGATATAGATACAATTTATAAGATTGGACAACGATTTCATCTGTTGTTGCATCAGCTATATGAACCAGTTAATAATTATGAATTGAATAGACCAATCTGTGAGTTATCCTCGATATTACCTGATGAAAAATTAGTAAGAGAAACAATAAATAGTACACAAGTACACGTGGATTGTCTTTCATGCATGCATCATGAATTTATCTGTCAAGTAGTAAAACATCCACAAAAAATAGCTGTTGAACTCGATGATCAATTGTTGACATACGCTGAACTTTTAACTTATATTCAACAATTGGCTATTCATCTCTTAGATCAATTCCATATTGTTCCAGGTGATATTGTTGCTCAATGTGTCGAAAGAAGCTTATCAATGGTAAGTCAATCAATAAAATAGATTTGTTTGAGTACGCATGCATCGATGTTACTTAGGTTATTGGTATAATGGCAATAGAGATGGTTGGTGGTGTTTATTTTCCATTGTCACCTCGAGACCCAGAAACTCGTTTACATATGCTTTTGAAACAAACTCAGTCTCGTCTTGTCCTTATCCATTATTTAACAAAAACGAAGTTTAATGATGATATTATTTTGTTAGATATCAACTCAATCTTGATGCATACTCATTCGATTGATGATATCGAAATTGATCGATTATCAAATGTAAAAGTAACGCTTGATAGTATTGCTTATATTATCTTCACAAGTGGTTCAACAGGAGCACCAAAAGGAGTAAGTAGCCAAACGAAATCACTTATGACAATATGACATCAGGAAGTAAACTAATGATCGAACTCATAAATATCTCTCCCATTTCCTTCTATTCGTCGCAGTTTTCTTAAATCATAACCTCTAATGATACACATTTCTCAGCTGAACTATTCTTGTAATTGCCTATTTGAAACATTTGGATCACTCGATGTTCTCCCAATATTTGTCATAGAGGCAATAAGCAACGTTTGGCTTCTGACTATCCAAGAGGGGAACAATATTTTAACTTAAAATGACATCCAACTGTAGAGTAGCCACGTAATTCAACTTATAACATGAGTGACGAATTCCTCATGCACTCCTATATATTCAGGAATAGTTTTGGTTATAGTCATACTCTATCACTCTGACCCACGCCCTCACTCTCACCCTCACACACGCACACGCCCATCCCGAAAGTAGCAACCACCCGAAATCCTTGTGATCTACCGTCTACAGTTCAAGTAAATTAGTTGTTTCTATGTTGCTATTATCTTTGTGTTTACAGTCACGATTTCGACATCGCAACTTCGTTCAATGCATGCATTCATTAATTCATATTGATTCGTTTAATCAAAATGACACGATGATACAAATGGCACGTTGCTCATTTGACAATCATATTCAAGAAATTGTCGGCTCGTTGATGATAGGAGCCACATTAATTATGCTTCGTCCAAAAGGAACCATCGAAGTTGATTACCTTGCTGCAACTATGAAAAACAAGCAAGTGAGCTATATGCACAGTGTGCCAAGTTTGCTTCGCAACTTTTTCACTTTTCTCAAACAAACTGATTCGTTGGTCTCTGTGGCATATCTTCGATCACTTTGCACTGTTGGTAAGTACTTAAAACTCTACACTATATCACTATTTTCTATGCTGTTCTTTTTTTCTTTAAAGGCGAGCCTTGTACAATGAAATTAGTTAATTTGATTCTTACCCATCCGACACAGAAATTTGTCTTATGGGACTTATATGGCTTGACCGAGACCACTGTAGTATGCACTTTCCATCGCATAGAAACGAAAGAAAATACTGAAAGCATTCCCATTGGACGTCCACTTCCGAATTATCGACATGTTCTTCTCGACGTATTCTTCCAACCTGTTGCCATTGATCAGGAAGGCGAGCTATTTATCGGAGGTGTAGGCATCTTCGCAGGCTTTCTCGGACGTGATGATTTAACAGCAAAAGCAATGATTGTGATCGATGGCGAGACATTCCATCGATCAGGTGATCTCGTTCGAATGAATGACAGTGGTGTCATGAATTATGTTGGCCGAAAAGATTTTCAAATAAAATTACATGGACAAAGAATAGAATTAGGAGAAATTGAACGATGTTTACTCGACACATCAATTTCAGCTTGTGTTATCATAAAATGGGATGACCATCATTTGATCGCTTACGTTCAAAGAACTTCTGACATTAGCGAACAAGAATTACGTGAACATTGTCAATCTCATTTACCACCTCACATGGTTCCATCAGTATTCATCATACTCGAAAAACTACCATTGAACGTCAACGGGAAGGTAGATCGAAAGAGTCTTCCCCCACCTGATCTATCTTCATTTAATATGGCACCAGCAGATGAATCGAGTAGTTCATACAATGAGTCAGAAAACCGTCTACATGATATTTGGTGTCAAGTTCTTCAATGTACTGGGAAGCAAATTCCAAAAACTAAAAATTTTTTCAGCATTGGCGGTCACTCCCTTGTATTTATTCAACTCTACCATCTTTACCAAAAAACGTTTCACTTCGATAGTCATGTACTTTCTATTGGCCCATTTCTTCAACAACCAACTATAGCTCACCATTCACAACTACTCGAATCACTCCAGATAAATGACACACATTCAAAACAATGGCACACATTGTATATTAATCAAGGTAAAGGCATCTCATATTATCATCCTCTGTAGACGATCTATTTTCTTTTTTTATCATAAAACTTTAGGAGTCGCCTCATTCGTTCAAGAGCGCATCTTTCTTGATGAACAAGTTCGCTTTTCTGATAACGCTGCTGTTTACAATGAAGTGATTGCCATGCGACTTGGTCGAGGTTTGATATCCATTGAACGTCTATCACAAGCACTTCAATTGGTTCTAATAAAGCATCCAATATTACGTACATCCCTCAATTTCAATAAATCCGATGGTACTCTAGAACAGTCAATTACCGACAACCATCAAGCACCTATCTTTCATGCTCAACAAACGTTCGAAAATGAAAATCAACTCAATGATATCATCTATAAAACCGTTATTAATCGAGATCTGTTTGATTTGTCAAAAGGTCGTGTTTTTCATTGCGAAATACTCCGAACGAAGAAATTTGCAAATGAAAGTCATGACGATGAACATATAAGAAAGTCTGATATCATTCTCATGGGATTTCATCATACAGCATTTGATCGATCATCTTTTCAAATCTTTTCCAATGATCTGTGTGATATGTATAATAACACTAGTCGAACGTGTTCAGAAAATGAACACTCATTGCAATATATTGATTATGCTGTTCTTGAACGCTTAATTGATATGAGTCCATCACAAAGATTTTGGCATTCACAACTGGAAAACTACAATATACGATGCCCATTGTCATTGCCTACTGATCGTCAACGTTCATCTGCTGGTCAGAGATCCCCATTTTCCACTGTAGCCGAAATCACTTTCGACAACGATGTTGCGACATCATTTCTAAACTATGCTTCCTCACATCACGTCACACCATTCCAGTTGGGACTAGCCACCTTTTATGCATTTCTATTCAAACTAACTCATGGACAAAATGATCTATGCATTACATCACCCAATGCAAATCGGTACAGAAATGAGTTACAAAATGTGATAGGAATGTTCGTCTCAACATTACCGTATCGGATGGAGTTGGATCGTTGTTGGACATTTGATGAACTCGTGAAACATGTCCAGGAAAAATGCCTGGCAATTCTTTCGCACACAAACTACCCGTTACAACATATTCTTGCTGATTTTCATCTGAATCAATCAAATGTGCCTTTTCTCGAGACAGTGTTTGATTTTATGACTATTTCTTCGAACGGCCATCAATCATTTCTCAATGGTACAAGTTTAAAACCGATGTTGATGTATCAATATTCTGAAGTGGCCAAATTCGACTTTATGTTAACATTCAATTACAATCCAGTGGTATATGATAAAAGAGTATCATGCTGCTTTGTTTTTTCAAGCGATATATATAAACAAAAAACCGTTACCAGAATAGCACAAAGATTGGACTGTCTTTTCGGGCGAATTTTTGGTTTTCAGTCAAATTTTACTCAGGTAGATCAATCAAACGTATGTCTTGGGCAAATATCACTTACATTGCCAGAGGAGAGCGAAGAAATGAAAGCGCTAATTTTTCAACGGCGTCCAAATATTGTGAATGAAGGTATGTTTGTATTTTTGATATTTTTTTCTTGTGACATATGCAACAGTTATTTTAGCATCTGAATACTTGATAGGTTATCCGTTTCTTCGAACGGTTATTTGTCGAATTTTCGTTTGCTAAAGCCGGTCGGTTCTAGGAATCACTTCCGGTCAAAGATGTGATTTCTAGTGACAATTCTGAGCTTTAGAGAGTGTCTTTTTTGCAACAGTCGACGTATTTTCCCGGAGATAACGTCACAAAAGCATGGCTTTTCGGGAATCAGTTTTATCGCGAATTCTTTGGGTGCACGCGAATATAAAAGAAGCCTATAAACATGTTTCGTTTGAGAAATCCTACTCTTGTGATTGACAGTTTTGCGTGCTGAATCATTTTTTTGTGAATAAAACCGCGATCGTATATTGTCAGCACGAATTACATTCAATCAATTCGAAGAAATCTTCGTGGCTTTTCTTTTACTGTGGAGTTAAGGAGCGTTGTTGCAGTAAAAATACGATAGAAAAAATCTCATAGAGCAATCAACCGGTGATTAAACGAAAATGAAGAACGGTATGCGTTGTGGCAACCAACTTAAAAGGAAATCTCTACCGCAATGTACGGAAACCCATCGTTTTGACAATGTTAGAGAGCATAGTATCACGAGAGCTGTTATAGTCTGAGTGGAAAAGCCACGAAGATTTCTTCGAATCGATTGAATGTAATTCGTGCTGACAATATACGATCGCGGTTTTATTCACAAAAAAATGATTCAGCACGCAAAACTGTCAATCG